CCCCCCCCCCCCTTTTATTGCCAAGACCAAGTAGACTGTCCCAAGAACACACTTTTCAATTTACAAGGACGCGTTTTCCTTTTACAACGACACAAAGTGTGTAAAAAAACAAGCTATTTTAATGCCTGTCGCTTGGTATATCATGTTTTTCTGCCACCTTCTGTCGTCGGTGCGTTATTTTAATTTTTTTGCTTGTATTTGCCCCTTCACTTTCGCAATTATCTGTTTCTTACTTATACTGATCTTATACTGATCTACGTTTATATATATATATATATATATATATATATATATATATATATATATATATATATATATATATATATATATATATATATATATATATGTATGTATATAAATCCAGTTCTAATAAATCATGAAATGTTTCTATAATCACACCTCATGCATCATGGGTTCGTGAGATGTTTTAAACCCGCCGCACACGAGCGCACTTGTCGCGGGTACTTGTTTATGATTCGTGACAAGTTGGTCGACAAAATTTCCTCGTGCGCGCGAACAACATTTACGGCATTTTCGTCATTTGTGACATGTAAACCAAATATCAAACATGTTTGATATTTTTTGTCATTCGTGACAAAAAAATTCTAGTGTGCGGCGAGCAAACGACAAGCGCGCCTGAATAGGAAAATTTGCGCATGCGTGCAACTTGCAGAATTAAAAACAAGATATGAGCTCGTGATTTTGATCCGCCATGTCGTTTTTAATTCTGCAAGTTGCACGCATGCGCAAATTTCCTATTACAAAAGTTACAAAAGGTGAAAACAATACAAAAGTGACAAAAAGTTAAAATAATACAAAAGCGACAAAAAGTGAAAATGATACAAAAGTGACAAAAAATGAAAATAATACAGTGACAAAAAGTGAAAATAATACAAAAGTGACAAAAAGTGAAAATAATACAAAAGTGACAAAAAATGAAAATAATACAAAAGTGACAAAAAGTGAAAATAATACAAAAGTGACAAAAAGTGAAAATAATACAAAAGTGACAAAAAGTGAAAATAATACAAAAGTGACAAAAAGTGAAAATAATACAAAAGTGACAAAAAGTGAAAATAATACAAAAGTTACAAAAGGTGAAAACAATACAAAAGTGAAAATAATACAAAAGTGACAAAAAATGAAAATAATACAAAAGTGACAATTAAGGAGTGAAAATAATACAAAAGTGACAAAAATGGCTGGCGCTTTTAACATTTTCTACTAAAATTATCTATATTAAAATTAACTATTTCGCATGTGACCTGCGCAACGCATGTAACTCCATAATTTTTTCATGTATATAATATTATTATTAAATTAATAAGTAATAGTATGGTTTCTCGTGCAGTTTGGAGAAACATACACTCGCGTGAGCTTTTCAAACACTTCAAATTGTTCTTCGGGCTCGTGCAATTTTGATCGTCTTTGAAAAACTCACTCGTGCATGTTCTTTTCAAATTGCACTCTGAACCATTACCTACGGTATATTAATACCATATACTGTATTGCCGAAACCATATTTTATACAATTTTGTTTTCTACAGTTCCACCAGAAGAGCCATACTTTAAGGAAAAAGCGGTTGTTGGTAAAACGTTTGCCATAACCTGTGAATCCAATGGTCATCCTTCACCAAGTTATACCATAATCCATAATGATACCAAGGTCGTCAGTAATGACAAGACGTATACCATAGATGTTGTGCAGTACAGTGATGCTGGGCTATATAAATGTATTGCAGAGAATAAACTTGGAAATAGTTCAACGATATATTATTTATCTATTCTAGGTAAGATTCAGTATTTTCAGATACAAAAACTGTTTTTACAACTTATGTTCACCACCTCTCGGTTTACTATCTCTATTGGTTATAATAATATATTGTCTTTTGCATTGGCTTCAAGGATTCCACTGTAATGAACGTGAAAGTGTAATAACATGGTTTTATTATGTTTAGATCGATTAATAAATCCAACAACTGGTGTTAGCACTCAAAATTTCTTGACTACCGAGAATTCTAGATCAGGTGAGGTGTTTATACTTCGGCAATTAAAGCAAGTTGAATAGACTATAAAAATATGTAAATATAAAATATCTTCCTGAAACAATATATAGTTTCTATAAGAAGCCCCTTCCCCCTGACCTCAGCAAAGCTATATAGTGTTATTTTGTCGCATGGTACAGATATTGGGGGGGGGGTTCGTTGTTTTATTACCACTGCAGCATTAATCATCGTTACTACTTGGCCTTGGGAGTAGAATTCAGATTGGGAGAGACTGGGAGAAACATGAACAGCATGTTTTGTGATCCGAGACCGCTATAATAAACAACTCGAAAATCATAGCGGATTGTGTCTATATTTCTACAGTATATACCTTTTTTAATGTTTCTATGGCGTTGTGTTTATCAGTTTTAAATATTTCTGTTCAGTCAATACAGCTGACAACAAAGAGGATGATGGGACGACTGTTGCAGTATGGCATATTGTTGTGACGTTGGTGTCTGGATTTATTGTTGGAATTCTCTTTTCCTACATTGTATGGTTTTCTTGTCGTCGTTGGTTTAGAAACAAAAACCCTGAAGCACAACGAACTGAAGTTGATACAACTTATCAAGAGCTTGATATTTCAAAAATGAACACAGAAGACAATTATCAATCGTTGAGAAACACAAGACCTCAATCAAACCCTGAACCAAAGCCAACTGAAGCTGATACAACTTATTAAGAGCTTGATCTTTCAAAAATGAACACAGAAGATAATTATCAGTCGTTGAGAGTGAATGCTGCGAGTTAAGACACTGAAAATCGATCTGGAAATGACGACGACCCTACTTATATACTGAGTTGAACAAAACCAGTGACGTGCAGAACAACTATCAATCTTTAACTTGAAGTCTTGAACCTGCAATGTTATTTAAAGATAAAATGTAGCCCCCTGTTTAGGACACTCCATGTATCGGAGTCGCGTGTACCACATGCTTTAAAAAAACACAGAAACCAGGGTAAACTTTAGAGATGCCTGTGGAGAACGCCAGATTAAAAGCTAAGAAAGATGTTTTTATTCAACAGTGGGCCTGTCCTAAGGTTCTTTTTATGAAATAAAAATCGATTCTTTTCTTCCCAAGAGGTAATCAGTAACGGCCCTGACTACGGATTCTTTTATGAAACAAAATTAGCTTACCGCTTTTTGAGAGTTACCGGGTATAGGTTCAAATTTTCAAACCTTTCTGAAAATATGGCTTTTTTAAATTGCAAAATATATAAATTAGGTCTTTCAAAATCGGCTTCTTATTCATATTTCCTACTGAATAGTTTTTAGCATTGTTCAGCTGGTCGATTGCGTTGTACTCACATACAGACAAAGAGTACAGGCTGCTACTGAGATGTTATCATCAGGTAGATTTTCTGTTCAGTCAATACAGCTGCCAACAAAGAGAATGAAGGGACGACTATTGTTGTATATATTGTTCTATCTTTGGTGTCCAGAATTATCATTGGAATTTTTCTTTTCTACATTGTCTTATGTTCTCGTCGTAAATTTAGAAGTAGGAGTGAAGCTCATTCAAACCCTGAACCAAAAGCAACTGAAGTTGATACAACTTATCAAGAACTAGATCTTTCAAAAATGAACATGCAGAAAAAACAATGAAATCGAGCTGCAAATGACGAGGAGTCAACATATACTGAGTTGCACAAAGCCAGAGATGTGGAGAACAACTATCAATCTTTAACTTGAACATGGAATATTATTTAAAGATAAAAGGTAGCCACCTTTTCAGGAGTCACCATCGGGGTCACATGCACCAGATGGTTTAAAACTACAGAAACCAGGGTAATCTTTAAAGGGAAATGGCAATATATTTTTTATTTTCTCATTTGAAAGAACTTTTGAAACTATTTAATAACTTCTTTTACCGATTCTTCATATCTTGCTTAGTTCTTGAAACATTTTCACTTGAAGTAATGAGATGTCGGCCATCTTGGATAAATTTTTGATCTCATTAACGGTAGTTTTGGTGACGTCACAACAGGGATTAACCATATAAAAGTATTCGTTGCTGACTAACTATTGATTGGTAGATGTTTTAAAGGTTTCAAGTGATATTTCCAAGGGCATACACAGTATAGTTTTGAGTGCAAAATGATTAGTGGTTGTCTAAATAGAAATATTCCGTAACCCCTGTTGTGACGTAACATGCATATTAACAAAAATCCAAGATGGCGGACATTTCATTTCTTTCGATTAGAATATTTGCAGAAGTAAGCAAGATATGTAAAAACGGTAAAAGAGTTTTATATGTGCTTTTTAATGTTCTTTCAAACGAGAAAATAAAAAAATATATTGCCATTTCCCTTCAAAGATGCCTGCGAGAAGGCCAGATTAATTAAAGGCCAAGGAAGATGTTTTTATTCAACAGTGGGCCCAACATTGTCCTGAGGTTCTTTTTTATCGAATAAAGGTCGATTCTTTTCTTCTCCCGGAGGTAGTTGGTAATGGCCGCGCTACGGATTCTTTTACGAAACAAAATGAGCTTAGGGCTTGTTGGGACTTCATTGGCTTGTTCAATGTGCAAAGTGCGTTTTACATTGAACAAGCCGATCAAGAAAGATATTGCTAGTTTGATATAAATTGAAGCATATCAAGCATTGGTCGAGTATATTTTAGGCTAGATAAGTTTTTTTATATATATTTTTGTATATTCCATGTGCTTGAAGGATTTTTTTCCCTGAATTGAATGCTTGTATAATTTCTTCAAATTTTACTTTTCGGGAAATCTGACACTCCACCCACCCCACCACAGTTGGTCTATCCCTTAAGTTCATATACGGCAACCATGCAGATATAATATCAGACATGCATGTCCCTTTACTCGATCTGTTTCTAGTTTGTAATCCCTCGATAAGATACATTCACCACCACAACGCAATCCAGCTTGTTTTAGCACGAAAAACGTTGTATTACAAATCAACATCGATTTGTCTTTGACCTATGGCTCTATTGGCACTACTCAACCGACCCCTGACGTTAACATAGCTATACAAACACACATGCCAAATATGCACAAAGTCTAAAAAAGTTTGAACTATACCGATGTATATATTAATGAAAAATCATAACCTTATAATCTGTCTACTTAGGAGGCAGGAAGTGTGTCTTATATTTACATATCAAACCTTCAATTACTATCAAAGCCGGAAGAACTTTACACCACACAAAACAAAATACCATATTATTATAGTGTTTGGTGGCCAATTTACAGGAATATTTATAGCAGGTACGTGATATTTTTTATCAATAACAGATGTACAATTTTGTTTTAATAGATCTTTGAGTACTATTTGTATTATTCGTACGATATATTCATTTACTATTGCAGAAATCAGATATAATATCAGTTGAGATGCTTCCATACTGTGTTTGTTCACTAAATGAATGTATTAAGTAATTCTTCAATAAATACATTCACGCGACCTTATGTTTCAACATTCTAGTTTAGTCTGTTCAATTTTTGGGCAGTGACTTGCGAGTTTAGATTGTCTCTGAAGAAGACAATAAACTTCTAGAAGCGTCGGATCGTGAACGGAATGTGTAAATTCATTTCATGTTTAATTAAACCACGAGTAATAAATATTGCTTGTAAACTTTCCTAAAACCTTCATTAAGAAAAACGCCCATAAATTTCGCTTAAAATAAGGGAAGGAAAGATTTTTGACAAGAAAGGAGGAGAATGATGATCTTAAATTTAGAACGAGATTTCATTGGTAAAATCGTTTGTTATTTGAGCAAATTCTTCCATGTGGCTACCTAAAAGTCGCAGGCAAAGGATAATTACAGTGGGCAGAAATTTTCAATAATAGCTTTCCTGAAAGTAAGGCCTAAAGAGTCATGTCCATATAAAACTTCAGACCACTTGGGGTTTTGTTTATTGTGTTTTTGTATGTTTTCTGGACAGAACTTCCGCCCGTCTACATTTCTGTAGAGTGTAGTTCGGAAGTAGCTAGTTCGGTAGGATATAAGTTATATATAAGTTATATAAGAGAATTAATGTCCCATTTTGGAGATAAAAACTTCTTTCGAGCTCGGTTATATTGAGTGTATGAAAGATGATAAAGTGTCTTTAATGTTTCTTACATTTCATATACACTGTGTTGAAAAGTTGCGTATGCATATATCTAATTTAGCGACATTCTAAATCCATGCAGTTCCAATAAATCATGAAATGTTTCTAATCACGCCTCATCATAGGTTCGTGAGATGTTATAGTCCAATTACGTACTTGTTTTGGGGTCTACTGTGAAGCAGGAGATATGGTACTCTAAGTTGTCAATGCATCTGGCAAAAGTATCTGGAGAGAATCTCTCGAAGTTCAGGAGAAAGCTATAATGTCCAATTGGAAGTGCATGCCTCACTCTTATCCTTCCACAACCAAAAATAGATTAATTAATACTTTTTTGTTTCATATAGATTAATTCCATAAAATGACTACCTTAATTTTTGCCATTTTATTTGGTCTCAATTTTTTGTTATTCAGTCCTTGTGAAGGTAAGGACTATATTAAACTAGACGGAACAGTTATTTTCCCTGTGGTATAATAATTAAGTAGTCGCCGTTCTTTGATATACGCACAAGCCAAGCTTGCATGCAACTTAAATTATTTCAGCACTCAGCTGGCTCATATATAGAGTATAACTGAATATGCACGATATTATTTTGTTGGTGCTATTTTTCTTCCTTTTATCCCCCCAGGGGGTGGGGAAAAAAGTCCTTATATGTCGCGTTGGGCTGGCAGGAAATAGAGTAATGACATTTCTGAACTATTGAAGAAAGACTGAACTGTTATAAAAAAAATCCATCAGCAAAATTGCGAAATGGTAAATTGTGTGGACATTTTTCTTGAATGCGCCATTTTATAGCCACACACATCGTACATTTTCCCATTATCAGGCATAGATATCCCCCTCCATGCATCACAGGTTTGGGGGAGTGTCGATCATTTCAGGAACAACCTATTAGCCTACATGGAAAGATATTGTTCTTGAACAGTTTAATTTTTAATAAAAATGTATTGATTGTAAATTGAACTCCCTTGTGTAGGTCGTCTAATCTCCCTCCTAAGCTTTGTGACCCAATTTATTATTAATATCATGTTTTTAGAAATTTGGAATTTGTGATTTGCTACATTTTCCTGAATTAAATCATAGACGTACATACGGGATTTAAATATCTCCCCTGTTAGGACATTTCAATTTTTCGCTTTTACTACTGAATATATCTCACTTTTCACGAACGACCCACTGGCCAGAATATAATGGCAATGCCTATGCAGGGAAAGAATTAAATTGCTCGTGAAATTAATATTCTTAACTTTTAGATTATTTAACAGAAATGTATTGAATATAATTTCCTTATATAGGTCAAGTCACCGTCATACCTAATGACGACACCTTTGTTGCTGCGCCAGGAGAAGATGTGGAAATAACGTGGACCATCAGTGGCATTCAAAGCTCACAATTAAGAGGTCGGGAGTGGGCGTTCCTTTCAGGAAATATCTTACTTGCTGAAATAAGTCGTGATGGGGTTGTGACAACATATAATATCAGCTTTTTTACTGCAAGGACAGAAGTAAAAGAGCCTTCAACTTTGATTCTGAAAAACGTTGATGAACGTTTTAATGGAACATACAGACTAGCTGTTCGCACAACAATAGGATTACAATAGAACGTTCCACACGAAGCCAGTGGATAATGTGTACACGCCACAAATTTGCTCATCAGATTGGCAAAGCACAGTGTAACCGTCGCTTTTATCACAATTAGAGATGTTGTATGACTGGATATTAATAAAACTTTGCATGTGTTCATTACATTTCAGTAACGCCAGCACTGACAATCAATTGTTCCAGTTACATCACATTGCGTCAAAGTGATTACTTTGCATGCGAATGTAAAGGACAAGGTGGCAACCCACTTGCGAACGTTACCTGGTACAAAGGAAGCGTACCGATTGTCACAGGAAAGGAAATAGGCATTTTGCGTCTTCCTAATGTGGATAAAGACGACAATGGGACATACAGATGTGAAGCCAAAAGTCACGAGAAGGCAAAGAACGAAACAACAATTGAATTAATTGTGAATTGTAAGTATGAGTGGTACTAAGTCGTTTAAGTGGTACTCGAATCAGGCACAGTTTGAGACCATGTTAAATTAGATATACTGTACTCTATTGTGTTTGTGTATGTATACATTTAATCTGGTGCATGCGTATGCATATATGCAAATTTAGAAACTGGACAAAAAAGGAAATGCATGTTTGAACTAATTTGTATATTTTGAAGTGTGCATGTTGTTCCATATTCAAATGAGTGAGGAAATTTTTTATTTCACATGGTTTTGATGAATTTGCTTATGTATAAATTTTCATGCATATTTTCAATGAGTATATAATAATAGTATGGGTTCGCCTGCAATTTGAAACGTCTCTAAAAACTCACTCATGCGTAATTTTTTTTTGTTCAGTCACCCATACTAAACCATATATTGCCAAAACCATATTGTATTCTATTTTATTTTCTATACAGATCAACCAGAAGAGCCATACTTTAAAGAAAACGTGGATATTGGTAAAACGTTTGCCATAACATGTGAATCCAATGGTCATCCTTCACCAAGTTATACTATAATCCATAATGATACCAAGATCGTCAGTACTGAGAGGACGTATACGATAGATGTTGTGCAGTACAGTGATGCTGGGCTATATAAATGTATTGCAGAGAATAAACTTGGAAATAGTTCAACGATATATTATTTAGCTGTCCTAGGTAAGATTCAGTTTTTACAACTTATTTTCACCTCTCCTTTTACTACTTTTTATCATACATTGTGTTCAAAATTTCGACTGTAATGAAAGTGAAAGTGTAATACCATGTTATTATGTTTAGATCAATTAATAAATCCGACAACTGGTATTACCACTCAAACGTTCTCCACTACTGAGAATTCTAGATCAGGTAAGATGTATACTTGTAGCTTGTTCAGAAGTTTATATACACTTCTTTGTGAAAGCAAGTTGAATATAGCTATATATTGATGTAAACTATCTTCCTAAAACAATAGTTTCTATAACAACACCCCCTTGACTTGAACAAAGCTGGTGTTATTTTGTTGCATGTACAAATAGTGCAGGGGGGTCGTTGTTTTATCACTGCATTTATCGTCACTAAAATGGAAGTATAATACTGGGAGAGGCTGGGAAAATCATGAACAACATGTTTTGTGATCCGAGACCACTATAATAAACAACTCGGAAATGATAGCGGATTGCAACTATTTCTTTATACCTTTTTAAAAGTTTCTATGGCGTTGTGTTTATTAGTTTTAAATATTTCTGTTCAGCCAATACAGCTGTCAACAAAGAGGATGATGAGACGACTGTTGTGGTATGGCATGTCGTGGTATCTTTGGTGTCTGGGATCATTATTGGAATTCTTCTTTCCTACATTGTCTCATGTTCTCGTCACAAATTTAGAAGTAGGAAACCTCAATCAAACCCTGAACCAAAGACAACTGAAGTTGATGCAACTTATCAAGAGCTTGATCTTTCAAAAATGAACACAGAAGATAATTATCAGTCGTTGAGAGTGAATGCTGCAAGTTATGACGCTGGACATCGAGCTAGAAATGACGATGACTCTACTTACACTGAGTTGAGCAAAACCAGAGATGTGGAAGACAACTATCAATCTTTAACTTGAACCTGGAATATCATTTTAAAGATAAAAAGTAGCCCCCTTTTTAGGCATCTCCATCGGGATCACATGTACCGGATGGATTAAACTCACAGAAACCAGGGTAACCTTAGTGATGCTTGCTTAGAAGGGCAGATTAAAAGCCAAGGAAGATGTTTTTATTCAATGGGTCTGAGACTGTCCCAAGGTTCTTTTTCTGTCGAATAAAAATCGATTTTTTCTTCTCTGGAATTTTTCAGGAATGGCCTCGACTGCGGATTCTTTCATGAAACAAAATTAGCTTACCGCTTTTTGGGACTTCATTGACTTGTTCAATGTGCAAAGTGCGTTCGCCTTATCCTGAAAGATATTGCTACAATCCTGGTTGTGGACAACCCACAGATATTGGCCTTAATGGCATTTCCACAAATAAATATCCCTCCGCTCCCCCAAGTCATTATGTTGAATGAAGTTTTTTCATCAAATAAGAAGTCAGTGTAGATAATGCAGATATGAAGCACCTGTTGAGCAAATTTTAGGCCATTTTTTTCTATATATTTTTGTTGCAGTATTTTTTTCTCTTCCCTGAATGCTTGCATGATTCCGTCAAATTCTACTCTGCGTAATGCGGATCTGACACCACACCCACGTACTCCACTACCCCTGATCTACCCCTAAAGTTTTTTGAAGGAACCATATATAATATCAGACATGTTTCCTTACTCTGTTTCTGGTTTGTAATCCATCAATAAGATATAAAAAATTCACAACCACAGCGCAATCCAGCTTGTTTCAGCATGAAAAACTTTATATTACTCATCGACATCGATTTGTCTTTGACCTATGGCCATTGGCACTGATTCCACAAATTCTCGTGCTAAACTGCAGTTTGATGGTTTTTGAGTTATCCTGCTAACAATCAAACCCACACAAACACGCACGCAAAGGCACAAACAACCGAAAAGCTTTGAACTGTCAACCCTTGAAGTTATCCGATCGAATTAAATAGTTTAATGAATTAATCATAACTTTAGAAATCAATCCACAGGGGCATGCACTAAATGCAGGTTGTGTGTTTCCTATTTGAATATCGAGCCTCAATCCGTATCGAAGCCGGAAGAACTGCACAACTTTTAAAACAACACACCATATTATAGCGTTTGGTGGCGAATTTTACAGGAATATATACCACTTAATTATAGCAGGTATGTATAACTATGTCATATTTGCTATTATAGGCTATTGGTATTATAGTATTCGTATGAAACCGTATGAATTAAAGTCATTAGTTTATTGCAATCAGGTCCACAATATCAGACATGTTTTCCCTCTCTGGATAGAATTTGTTCAGGGATTACAACTTCATTTCTTTGATCGACCATGAGTAGCTAAGCATTTGCAGCATATAAATGTTGTCTTTATCTTATAAGATACGTCTAGGTCAATTGAATCCTCCTAACGAGTAACGGAGGTATAATAAACCGAGTTCATACCGAAATATGCGGGAACAAACTATAGACTATATATAAAGTTGCTCTTCGCACGAATACAAACTATTAGACTTTTGAAGATAAAGATATAATATTATTATTATATTTAATTTCACTATTCGGTATATAAATACATAACACTCTCCCGACTCGCAAAAACCTTCAGAAATGGGGAATATCACGAACATCCGAATGTTCAGTTGAATCCCGGAATCACTTCTTCACGTCGTCGCTGGATGCAAGATCTACCTAAATGAAGGACTTTTTACGTGGCGTCATGATTCGGTGCTTAACTTCATAGCATCCATAGACCATACTTAAATCTGTGGAGTGTGGACCATTCTAACCTTTATACTGATCATGACTGGCTATATCAGTCCATCTGTTCTCACCGGAGATGAATTACGCTCTGATCTTTTAATAACACTTAAAAACAAATGTAGGCTATATTATATACTTGAACTTACCGTCGGATTTGAATCTAATCTCCTCACTAATGCAACTCGAAAAAGACAAAAATATCAAGATCTAATTAATGAACAGCTCAAAAATATCAAAAAGTAAAATTTGTAAGTTTATCGATTAGTTCATTAAGAGTTTTCAGTCATTTGTCGCTAGATTTCACCGAAATGCTGAAAGGTCTAAAGTTTGATGAACAATGTAGAAAGTACTATGTTCGGAAAATTATTAACATCTGTATCATGCAGGTTCTCGTATTATATATTCTGTAAGCGTAACAAAGAATGGGACAACCCACAACCAATGTCACACCAACACCGTCACTATACGTATAGAGCGCCAATTCAAGTGGACACTAGTAAACTACCTGTAAAGAGAGGTTTATCAATGTATATACAATATATACATATTATTGAAAGTAATAAAGTTTCCATTATTATTAAAGAGAAATTGTTTTTCCTCATTAGCATAGAACACATTTTCTAAGCATTATACAAAAGTACGTAAAAGCTTCGATCTGGAAGTTCAGTACTCAGTAGTTTCTTAGTTTATAATTACCAGAGGTGTGCAAATCCGATTCGTTCGGATTTCGGAACAAAAATATAAATATCGGATCGGATTGATAAAGTTGTTTCGGATCGGACTTCGGTATTCGAAATAAAATGAATTAATTATCCTCGCATTATCGCAAGAATTAATTATCCTTATCAAAGCATCGCGGTTGTCGCTGCATTATTCGTTTGATCAGTTCAATTGGACGTCACTTTGTCAGCTTCTTGACACGTATTCCTTGCTTTTATATTTATTTGGTTATCAAAGCTCGGATCGGATTAGACAATTTCAGATCGGATCGGATTTTAAACATTAGCCAATTGTCGGATTATAAACGTCCGATCCGATGCACACCTCTAATAATTACTGTCTAACATTAATGGTAGCCCGCGTGCAGGCCCAATGGAACTGACAGTTCCCTTGGGCCTGCACGCGGGCTAACATTAATGGTAATATACTACACTACACTACAGATTTTAATAGCACTCCTCGGCAGCTTTGAGCTTTCTCAGGTAAATAAAGCGGAATTTATCTTGCCATGCAAACTGTTGCGCATGCAGTGCCGTTATATCAATAATCTATAGTCTTTTTGACTGTTTTGTGTTTGTAAAGAGTCAATGTAACAGCTTTGTTACACATTACTTTAATTAGCTCTCAGACTTTCAGAAATTATTCAAGCTGTTAGCCATGCATTCCTGTCGCTTTGAGAGTAGTGGGACATTTGACTATGTAGAAAAACATATACTAGAAAATCCTATATATATACAGGATATTTTCTATATCTATTTTTAATACATTGTCATTGGTTGTGCATGAAAATAACTCAATCAATCTTTTTGCTATTCTTGATATTTTTAGAAACTTCCAAATACCTATTTACTCTATCATGCAACATCCTACTGCAATTGTTGTTCCATTAATTTAATTTAGTTAAATGGGAGGTCCGTTGGAGAAATTTCCTCAAACTACAGGAGAAAAAAATTATTGAGATACCGTACATATGTATAAGATGTATCATACCCTTCTTCAACCATAAATTGATTGATTAATATTTTTTCATATAGATTAATTTCACAAATGACTGGCATAATTTTTGCCGTTTCATTTGGTCTCAATTTTTTGTTATTCAGTGCTTGTGAAGGTAAGGACTATATATATATATATAGTCTATATATTTTAAACTATAGACAGAACAGTTATTTTTCTCATGTATTATAAAGTTGTCACCGTTCTTTGTTTATATATACACATAAACTTCCATACAACTTGATAATTATTTCAGCAGATGCTTTTGATGTTACTCTGAGTGTATATCCACACCGGGCAAGCTTAAAAAATATGCCTGGACACGGTGGGAATCGAACCAACGACCTTTGGAATACCAGCCCAATGCTCTGTCAACTGAGCTAACCGACCTGACCGCGTAGAGCATTGGCTGGTATACCAAAGGTCGTTGATTCGATTCCCACCATGGCCAGGCATATTTTTAAAGCTTGCCCGGTGTGGATATAGGCCTACACTCAGAGTAACATCACAAGCACCATATTCACCTGAGTATACATAATACAAGCACAGAAAAAATCATGATAGCTAACTAGATTACATTGATATCGAAGGAACCAGACTCGGTTCCAAAATATCACATACTCGAACCGATCTGACCGCGTAGCTCAGCTGACAGAGCATTGGACTGGTATTCCAAAGGTCGTTGGTTCGATTCCCACCGTGGCCAGGCATATTTTTCAAGCTTGTCTGGTGTGGATATACACGCAGAGTAACATCACAAGCATCATATTCACCTGAGTACATGATACATACTAACACAGAAAAAAATCATGATTATAGATTACATTGATATCGAAGGAACTAGACTCGGTCCGAAATATCACATACTCGAACCGACCTGACCGCGTAGCTCAGTTGCATGGCAGAGCATTGGGCTGATTTTCCAAAGGTCGTTCGTTCGATTCCCACCGTGGCCAGGGAAATTTTTTCAAGCTTGCCCGGTGTGGATACTCAGAGTAACATCACAAGCATCATATTCACCTTAGTACATAATACCAACACAGAAAAAATATTTCAGCATATTTATAGAGAAAATAGACATTTGTGTGTATTTTCCACGTTTATGAATCTTTAATATATGAATTTATAGTCCTATAATATACCAGAGATTCATAAATGTGGAAAACACTACAATTAGGGGAACATTATTTATTTAAAATATTGCTCTTGTCCAAAGTCAAGTGACTGAGTAGGCCGCAGTTAACTCGTCAAACAGGGTTCAAAAATAAAATATAACTGAATATACATGACATTATTTTGTCGATGCAATTTTTCTTCTTTTTATTCTTCCCAGGGGTGGAGGCAAATAGTCCGCATATGTCACCAGGACTAGCAGGAAATCGATTAATGACATTTCTCCCCCAAGAAAGACTGCAGAACTTATTATAAAAAAATTGCATCACCAAAATTGTAAACTGCTATAATGGGTCATTCCAGAATACATCCACGATTCCAACGTGATGGATGTTGGGAGTTGGTATATTTCACCATTTCTCCCTTGTATAGGTCAAATCTCCCTCCCGCCAGGTGGCAGCACCTTTGTTGTTCTCCCTGGAGAAAATGTGAAAATAGCGTGGAAACTTGGTGTCAGTATATCTCGCGTAGATTTTCGAGCGTGGACATTCCTTCCAAAGAACAACGGCACTTTCGCTGATATCACTGGAGACGGAGCTGTGGTTAAAAAGCCCCAATATTCACCTGGGCCGATTACGATAACAAAGCCTTCAACGGTGCTTTTAAAGAACGTTACTATCCAGTACAATGGAACATACATATTTCTAATTGTTGTTGCAAGTGTTCAAGTCTATGCGTCTGAAGTTACTGTGTTTGTTGCGGGCAAGTGTCTGTTGTTTAATATCCTGTATCTTTTTACCCTATTTGTCGCGAAAAGATTTTGCACAGTGCCACAGTTCTTTATCTTATTTTTAGCTAACAACAAATTTCTTTATCCTTGATTGGTTCAGATAAGTACAATATACATTTCCATACGAAGTGTATGGATTATGTTTTGATTGACTTTTGCAAAACGGAAAGGTCAATTATATGCGTATATTGTTGAAGAGCTTTGAAGATGGAAATTTCATATACAAAACGTCAAAATAAAACATGGAAATACATTACAAAGTAGAAATCCAAGTTAAAATGGTGGCCAAAAATAAATCATGAACAGCGGTGTAGAAATTAAAATTTTCTTACTGATTCCGACAATAAGTACAATTGATAGAACACACGAGAGGAGGGCGCTGCAGCTACTTAAAAATCGAGGACCGGAGACCATGTCCCCCCGCGTTGACATAAATTTTGAGGACGGAAAAAATTTGTCTGGCAAGGGGCTATATTATAGTCCAAATTTTAATCGAAAATTATCTCAATTAAAATCCTTTCAGTTAGAGCCCAAAACACTAAAATTAATTAAATTATGTTTGGTGAATGCAAGTAGTAAAAACGCATTTCGAAAAACCTACATTATATGGCTTCATTATATTTCAGTTGCGCCAACTGTGACCATCAATTGTTCCAGCATCGTCACAGTAAATGAAGGTGATGACTTCACATGTGTATGTAGAGGTGAAGGTGGAAACCCTCCAGCCAATGTAACTTGGTATGATAAAGATGGCGTCCAGATTGGTGGAACAGGAAAAGAAGAACAAACATTAACTCTCAGGAATGTTGATGGAACAGACACTGGAGCATACAAGTGTGTAGCCGAAAGCCACACTCTTGCGGAGGAAAAATTAGTCGAAGTAGTAAAAGTAAGACTTGATTGTAAGTATTGTTGTAAACTGATATATGCGTGTTTGCATGTAAATATTTAAACTTATGCATGGCGTGTGCACATGCCACATATGTAAATTTAGAAACTGTATAAAAAGGACATGCATGTGTTTGAACTGGTTCTGCGTATATTTTGAAGTGAGCAATATATAATAACAACCTTGTGTCCTGCAAGTTGTTGTCTCGCTTCAAATGAGTGAGTAAAATTTTCCATGTGTTGCATGCATGCAAGTTTCATGCATATTATCAATAAGTAACACGCAGTAACGTTTCTCTTGCAATTTGGATCGTCTTTGAAAAACTCACTCTTGCATGTTCATTTTTTCAAATGGAACTCAAAACCATTACCTGTATTTAATAATACCATGCATTATATTGCCGAAACCATATTTTATTATATTCTATTTTGTTTTCTACAGACCCACCAGATCTGCCATACTTTAAGGAAAAAGCGGTTGTTGGTAAAACTTTTGCCATAACATGTGAATCCAATGGTCATCCTCCACCAAGTTATACCATAATCCATAATGATACCAAGGTCGTCAGTAATGACAGGACGTATACCATAGATGTTGTGCAATACAGTGATGCTGGATTATATAAATGTATTGCCGAGAATAAACTTGGAAATAGTTCAACGATATATTATTTGTCTATCCTAGGTATAATATTCAATATTTTCAGATACAAAACCTGTCGTTTAACTGTCTATACAAATATTAGTTATTATACATTGTCTTCTGCATGTATTCGCTTCAAAATTTCGACTGTAATGAAAGTGAAAGTATAATAACATGAAGTCATTATGTTTAGATCAATTAATAAATCCGACAACTGGTATTACCACTCAAAATTTCCCAACTACCGAGAATTCTAGATCAGGTAAGATGTATACTTGTTCAGAGGTTATATACACTTTGTGAAAGCAAGTTGAACTATATATTTATTGACGTAAACTATCTTTCTGAAACAATAGCCCCCCCCCCCACCCCCACCTGACCTGAGCAAACTTAGTGTTATTTTGTTGCATGGTGTAGATATTGCAGGGGTGGGGGATCCTTGTTTTACCACTGCATTCAGCGTCATTATACATGAAATCTATGGGAGAAACATGAACAGCTTGTTCTGTAATCCGAGACCACTACTGATCGGTTTATGAATTCTTTTATTGTTAGTAATTGTAAATATTTTTAATGGCATTAGGTTTCTTAAATTTTTATAATTGTAAAGTTTTAACGCAATTCAGCCATTATCAGCTGTAAAGTCTTTTAAAACTGAATAAATCATCTATTTAAACAACTCGAAAATCATAGCGGATTGCATGTAATTCTTTAATCCCTGTTTAAAGTTTCTATGGCGTTGGGTTCATAATTTTAAATATTTCTGTTTAATCAACACAGCTGCCAACAAAGAGGATGATGGGACGACTGTTGCAGTATGGCATATTGTTGTATCTTTGGCGTCCGGGATTATCATTGGAATTCTTCCTTCCTACATTGTCTTATGTTCTCGTCGAAAATTTAGAAGTAGGAAACCTCAGTCAAACCCTGAACCAAAGACAACTGAAGCTGATACAACTTATCAAGAGCTTGATCTTCCAAAAATGAACACAGAAGATAATTATCAGTCATTGAGAGTGAATGCTGCAAGTTATAATGCTGGAAATGGAGCTGGAAATGACGATGACTCTACTTATACTGATTTGAACAAAACCAGAGATGTGGAAGACAACTACCAATCTTTAACTTGAACCTGGAATATTATCTTAAATACAAAAGGTAGCCCCCTTTATTCAGGAATTTCCATCGGGGTTACATGCACCAGATGGTTTAAAACCACAGAAACCAGGGTAACCTTTAGAGATGCCTGCGGAAAAGGCCAGATTAAAGGCTAGGGAAGACGTTTTTATTCAATAGTGGACCTGAAACTCTCCCAAGTAATAAAAATCGATTCTTATTTGTTCGGATGTTTTCTGGAATGGCTGCGACTATACGAATTCTTTTATGAAAAAATTTTCTTACGGCTTTTTGGGACTTAATTGACTTCTTCAATGTGCAAAGTGCGTTCGCCTTATCCTAAAAGATATTGCTACAATCACATTGCATTATTGCCAAAACATTGTGGACAACTCACAGATATTGGCCTAGAATGGCATTTCTATAAATAAATACCCCCGCCGCTCCCCCAAGTTAATATTGAATGGAACTTTTTTACCAAATAAGAAGTGTGGATAATGCAGATATGCGACATTGAAGAGGGGGAGTGGAGGGTATGCGTTTAAAATGTTGGCAAAAGTGGATTAAGTGTCCGCATGAACTTTTCCTGAATGTTTCCATGAGTTTTTCAAATTCCACTCTGCGTGAATTTTTGAGGGGATCTGACACCCCACTTACCTCACCACCCCTGATCTTCCCCTAAAGTTCATATATAGGAACCAGATATAATAGGTTTGTAATCCCTCAATAAGATACATTCACAACCACAACGCAATCCAGCATGTTTTAGCACGAAAAGCTTTATATTACTCATCAAGATCAATTTTGTCTTTGACCTATGGCCATTGGCACTGATTCCACAAATTTTCGTATTAAACTGTTTGATGGTTTTTGAGTTATCCTGCTAACAATCAAACCGCAAACACCCTCGCAAAGGCACAAAAAAACCCGGAAAAGCTTGAACTGTCAACCCTTGAAGTTATCCGAATTAAATTAATTTAATGAATTAATCATAACTTTAGAAATATGTCCACAAGGGGGCATGCAGTAGCATGCGGGCAGTGTGTTTCATATTTGAATATCAAGCTTCAATCCGTATCGAAGACGGAAAAACTGCACAACTTTTAAAACGAAACACCATATATATAGCGTTTGGTGGCGAATTTTACAGGAATATAACACTAAATTATAACAGGTATGTATAACTATGTCATATTTGCTATAATTAATGGTCTGTAATCAATCTCTTGAAATTTACAAGCCGACAAAGACATGGCGGCCATGTTTGAGGAAGATACGCTCCAAATACAATGCTGTTAATGAGATTCTTTTGTTAGTTGTCCTCCAACATGGCCGCTATGAAATTAATTGCAAACCAAGAATATAGGCTATTGGTATTATCATAATATTCGTTTGAAACCGTATGCGAATTACAGTTCATTAGTTTCAATCAGGTGTACAATATCAGGCATGTTTTCATTCATTTCATTTTCTGGATAGAATTTATTCAAGGATTACAACGTCATTTCTTTAACCCTGCAACAAGTAGCTATTAAGATACATCTAGGTCAAAGAAATAGAAAAAGGTTGTCCTTTGCAAACCTTACGCCGGTATTCTAAAAGCTCATGCACTCACACTCAATGAGTGGAGGTTCAATCTGAGCTTCTCTCGAGTGCCATTGCTGTTTTTGAATAGCTTGAGGGCTAGTGTCGTACCTTACTATGTGACTGCTCACCCTCCAGCTATTCAAAAACAGCATTGAAACTCGAGAAAAGCTCAAATTGAACCTGCACTCATTGAATGTGAGTGTGAGTGAGCTTTTAGAATACGGGCGCTAGACGTTAAACCTTAAATCTAAGCGCGCAAAGCTTAATGGGAGCACAAGTTTCAAGCTTAGTAGTTGAATTTTGCAACTATTTGTGAATGAATTGTTTTCCTAAGGAGATATTTACCATGTCTCTAAGAAATGGACCCCGTTTATGATTTCTAAACTGATTAAATGATGCTCTGATTATACTCGTTATGCTTCGCATGCTTGGATTTATGGTTTAAGGTTAGAGTTTAAGGTTTGCAAAGGACAAGGTTTTTGAATTAGCTGCGGTATACTATAAATCAGTCAGTGTACAAACGTAAAGCAATTGTGAAAATAGTATAGCTAGGGCACTCCTGAGGCTGCATACACACCTCCGCCAGTGAATTAAGTTGTGCATATCGTGCATAAATTATACAATCGCTAATTACGCACTAGTTTACTAAGTAAACTCAAGTTTACTCTTACCTCCTACTGTATTGTTGCTCCAATATGCATGATACAGCACACTGATGCAGAAAAAGTTTAGCTAAATTTGAAGTGACTTCACCGGATGTATAAGATGTATCATATCCTTATACAATCAAAAATTTATTGATTAATATTTTCTTTGTTTCATATAGATTAATTTCATAAAATGATTGGCTTAATTTTTGCCGTTATATTTGGTCTAGATATTTTGTTATTCAGTCCTTGTGAAGGTATGGACTATATATAGACGCACAAGTTTCCATACAACTCTAATTAAATGAGGAAAACACTACATGCATAGGGGCACATTATTTAAAATATTGCTCTTGTCCAATGCCAAGTGCACTGCATGAGTAGGCCGTAGTTAACCGTAGTTAACGGTTTAAAAAGTAAAATATTTTTCTTCTTTTTATTCCTCCGATTATAATGACATTTTTCCCTCAAGAAAGACTGATGCTTATTATAAAAAAGTTGCATCACCAACATGGTAAATTAGAATAAAATTGCTATGATTGGGCCATTCCAGAAAACATCCACAACATGAAGGATGTTGGGAGTTCGGACATCATGGTATAGTTTCCCCTTTCTCTCTTGTGTAGGTCAAATCTCCCTCTCGCCAGGTGGCGATACCTTTGTTGTTCTCCCTGGAGAAAATGTGTCAATAGCCTGGAAACTTAATGTCAGCATAACTGACGTACTGGGTCGATGGTGGACATTCCTTCCAAAGAACGAATATCTTTTTGCTGATATCATTAGAGATGGAAATGTGATTGAATTCCCCCAATACTCACCTGGACCATTTACAATAACAAAGCCTTCAACGTTGATTTTAAAGAACGTTACTATCCAGTGCAATGGAACATACACATTTAGTATTTTGGCAAAGGGTAAACCTATTGCTGCATCTAATGTTACTGTGTTTGTTGCAGGCAAGTGTCATTTGTATGTTATCCTATACCTTTTTACCCTGCTTTTGCAGAATTTTTAGTACACTTATTTTCAGGCAGTAACAAATTGGTTCAGGCAAGTACAATGCAATCAATAGATTGCATTTCCTCACGAAGTGGTGGATAATGTTTGACTGATTTGATTGACTGTTGCAAAACGAAAGGCGTATTATAAGCGTATTATTGAAGGTTTTTGTAGATGGAAATTTCAAGCCAAAATTATACTTTCAGACATGATACGGGAACATGCAGTTGCAAAAAAATGCATTTTTTGTATTGTACATTATACATTAAAAAAGAACAGAACATGAAAACAAATTACAAATACAAATCCATGTTGAAATGGTGGCCTAAAATAAATCGTGCACAGCTACAGGCAATAATATGATTTAAGAAAGAAAATCGACAGCGGTGTGGGAAAGATATTTTCTTACTGATTCTGCCATTCAGTACAATACGTAGAACAACAAGGAAAATGTAACGAAAATATCTCGTATCGTTACACCGTGAGATTAAATGTTTGAATCATGAATGTCCACTTGAGTAGAAACAAAATTCAGCTTCTGTGACAGGATAGATCACTCGTTTCCAACCTCATTCACAGATTTATTAAGTAAACAGAGACATTCATCCATACATTTTGAGCACATACATCTCGCCTAACGTCTGCCGTAGCCTCATCATCTACCTATACTCGAATCAAAGTAACGAGCCACGAACAATGATTTTTGTTTCTGATTTGTTTCTGAAAGCCAATCACAAAACATAGTCATTTTAGGTAGGTCTTTACCTGTGCCGTCCTCTCTGGAGAGTATTAGCATATATCAGCCCCTATCGGAAAATGCTCGAAATTAAAATATACTTAGGGAGCGATCATTATTCATTAATTTGAGATTGCAATGAACTGCCACAAATACAACAGTTCCATTGATGCATATAATCCTAATTTGAAGAAATATCCACCAGCTCAGGAAATTCCATTTTAAGACCCCAGATTTTAATGATTTCGGGGGAGCACGCCCTCAATCCCCCTAAAGTTTGCCTATATGGGGCCCTTAACCAAACAAATCTTCTGCCGTCTATACGGCATACAAAAATATCAACATGTATATAGACAAGAATAATTATTGTAGAATATACAATGTGTAGGAACAAATTGGATAGCATTACATAAACTTTCAAGTATTTATATGTCTACATCAAGACGAACTTCCCAATAGGAGGTGGGTGGGGGGGGGAGTCAAATTGAGCTTTGTGGAGAGTCGAAGAAAACAGAGCATGTTATACTCATTTGCGCCATTTGAGCGAACTACTGTATGCCCTAACCATAATAATATAATATACTTACCTTTCCGAAAGACTTACAGTACATGGCTTCATCACATTTCAGAAAAGCCAAATGTTACATTGAGTTGTTCCAGTCCTATCATAGTAAATGAAGGTGATGACTTCACATGTGTATGTAGAGGTGAAGGTGGAAACCCTCCAGCCAATGTAACTTGGTATAAAGATGATGTCCAGATTGGTAGAACAGGAAACGAAGAACAGACATTAACTCTCAGGAATGTTGGTGGAACAGACAGTAGAACATACAAGTGTGTGGCCCAAAGTCACACTCTAGTGGAGAAAAAGTTAGTCGAAGTAAAAGTAAGGCAAAATTGTAAGTATTGTTGTACGTATATTGTATATGTAATTACTTAAGCTGGTGACGTTTGCGCATATGCAAATTTAGAAACTGTATAAGAAGGAAATATTTCTGTTCGGTCAATACAGCTGCCAACAAAGAGGATGATGAGACGACTGTTGCAGTATGGCATATTGTTGTATTTTTGGTGTCCGGGATTATGATTGGAACTCTTCTTTCCTACATTGTCTTTTGTTCTCGTCGTAAATTTAGAAGCAGGAAACCTCAGTCAAAGCCTGAACCAAAGACAACTGAAGTTGATACAACTTATCAAGAGCTTGATCTTTCAAAAATGAACACAGAAGATAATTATCAATCATTAAGAGTGAATGCTGCAAGTTTATATGACGCTGGAAATCAAACTGCAAATGACGAGGAGTCAACATATACTGAGTTGAGCAAAACCAGAGATGTGGAGAACAACTATCAATCTTTAACTTATATTATTTCAAGATAAGCGATTGCCCCGTATTCAAGTGTATTCAGGAATTTCCATCGAGATCATGCACATGTACCAGATGGTTTAAAACCCACAGAAACCAGGGTAGCCTTTACATATGCTTGCTTAGAAGGCCAGATTAAAGGCCAAAGAAGATGTTTTTATTCAACAGTGGGCCGCAGCATAGGAATAAAAATTGTGGAATAAAAATCCTTTTTGTCAAATCAGATGATGGCCGCGACTAGATTCTTTTATGAAAGAAAGAGTGCGAGTAAGAGTGCGTTAATGCACATTGCTTAGAGTGCGTTAATGCACATTGCTTAACGGTTGTCATTGCCAGGTTATTGTTGCATGGTAACTTGATAACAGGTTTGAGATTACCCTTAGGGACACACTATATGTCCCACTTATTGCGAAGATAAAAAAACAGCTAAAACTTGCATAATGAAATAGAATTAACAATAACAATGTGTAATCATCCATGCCAAAACTATTTCAGAAATACTTCGCAGCTAAAATTTTTGTCGTACAGTTTGGCTATCGTTGAGTGATATATGCAGCCGATTTTGCAAAATCAAATGATTTTCTACATATAAATAAAACTTTGGCTCGCATTTTGCCGACAATCACATTACGTTGAGTTAAAGGCGGTTTTTGAAACCGAAAAATTCATTCATCGTGGGCCGTGGCAAATATGAAACAAGGAAATTGAACCTGCAGAATATTATACATCCTCTTGGCTTCTCGATTTTGAACAGTATGTGACAGTACAGATGGTACTAGGTATTGTAAAAGTATTAAAGTTTACAGGAATACTGCTTATAGCAGGTATCATTCCTATATACAGGGTGTATAAAAAAAAAGGTAATCGAACTTCAGAGCACTATTGTATCTGAATTACTCTGCGTATGAACGAGATTTTTCACATTCAGAAAGTTCATGCTTTTAGCTGTTGAATGATATCTTCTTCGTGCCAAATGGATACAAAATGAGCAAATACGAATCCGATAAAAAATGTTAGTCAGAATCGCATATTTTCACCGTTGAGAGTTGGGTCTAAAACCATTGAAAATAAACCCCCTTTGGTACTTAAGTTGATGAATTCCACTTCATTAAACTACGCACATATTCATAATTAATTATTAAGTAGGAAAAATCTTAGCTAAGCTACGACACGTTCGTGATTAATTGCTTTTTCTTTTGTTATGCATTGTTTTAATTAGGCACAGAGGTGAAAATATGCGATTTTGACTAACATTTTTGATCGGCCTCGTACATGCTTATTATGAAAAGCATGTCATTCAATAGCTAAAAGCTTGATCTTTCCGAATATGAAAACCATTTGTTCATACGCCGAGTGATTCACGTATATTTTATACACCCTGTATAACTATGTAATATTTGTTATGATGGTATTGTTCGTATGAATGCATTAACCATTATTAAATTTCATATAGCAACGTCGTGTAATAATATCAGATAATTGGTTGCACATTGTCGTACGTGGTTTGTCGGGAAAACTAAATTAATGTTGAATTCCTCAATAAAATACATCAGTTTACGAATCACAACTTGTTTAGTTTCAATAATCCGGCAGTCTGACGTGCGACTTTAGATTGTTTTAAAAAACATGTACTTTTGTACCTTTATTGCTTCAAAAAACAGACTTGCATGTCACTGGACTCACTGCACTTCTCAAAGGGGCTCAAAGAGTCTCAAAACAGTGATCGTGAATGGAATTTGTTTATTAAAGGATTTAATTCATTTCTTTAAGATATGAAGCATATTACATATAATGAATTTCCTGTATCTTATAAGTAATATCCATGCAGAATACTGGACCTCCCCATCCAGTCCAGTCAAGCAGAAAATATTTTGTAATTCAACCAAAATTTGATGGATTTGTCCTTGGCATATGACATTGATTCCACAAATTTTCGTATTAAATGTTAATGATAATTTATCTTATTTCTGACATACAAATCGACAAATAAAAAAGGGCACAACGTCACAAAAACCTAGCTAGGAATGCATGCCTTCCTTGCGGACCCCGAGCTAAGAAAGTTCACAGGAGGCAGGAAGTGTCTCATATTTGCGTATCAAGCTTCAATTACTATCAAAACCGGAAGAACTCTTTGCACAATACAAAATAACACACCATATTACAGCGTTTGGTGGCCAATTTACTGGAATATTCCTTAAGCATGCAGGTATGTCACTATGTAATATTATAATAGACTTTTGAGTCATTCAATATTGACTAAATATTGGTACTATTCGTATATAAAACCGTATTTATTTGTATAAAGGTCATTACAATTAAATATCCCCCTTCTTTGTCTCTGGTTTGTGTACTAAGCACTAAGTTACTGTATGCAATCTCAATGAAATTTAGAATGTGTGTATTTTAGAACACAGTGGTATTCGAAAAGCTCTCCTACTGACTTCATTCCGAGAACAACTGCACGGAAACACGCAAGTACAAAGCAAAGTAGGTTTCTCACAGTAACCTGAAGTTCAGGCCATTCTCACAGTGGCGGCGGAACAGGTGTTATTTTAATTAAAAGGAGGAGTTGGGAGCTAGCTTCCATAAATTGTCCAACATATAAAAATCATTTTCCGGACTAACCGATATTTCCGATTTCATGTCTTTAATTTTCTACATTTGCCTATAATTTTTATATATAAACTTCAAAATTCAGTCTAATCATCTATCCATTTTTGAATTTGCGTGCGCCATATGCCAATGATGAAACGGCAATTCGGCGTGAAATAAAATACCGTATTATGAATATCGTATTATGAATCCAAAGAATATGCTTGAAACAGAGACATATCAAAGACATTTGATAAGAACAGTTCTGTTTAACTTAAACAAGAAACGTACAAATCTTATTCTTGTTCATCATACATTTAGCACGGTGTTCGACATAGCTACTTCACTCTTTATGAGGGATATTAATTTGTATTTCCAATAACAATATTGCGCCTTCAAGGACAAAGGCCATAGATTTTTTCATTACTCAGTGCAGGAAAAGTCGAGATCTTATCATTTTCAGCGCTCTCGGCTAGTAATGGTTTTAGATACACCTCCGAAGTTGATGATTTTCTATAGAGCAATAAAATCTGATGTTTCGCGAAAAATATTTCTTAATTAATTGTCTTTTTCTTTTTCGTATGTAGGTTTAACTGTATAGCTACATACGTTCATAAGATGGCTGGCTTTGGTTTTCTAATTTTATTTGGTTTCAGTTGTTTGTTGTTTCCATGTGAAGGTAGCTATTCTTACACGATGGTGTAACTACATACAGCATCTTATAAAATGCCTCTCGTGTTGAGAGCTTCTTCGTGAGAGTTTAATTTCAATTATGAGAAATTGCTACCACCTAAATAGGCTAAATCATGCACTTAGGCCTGTTTCAAACGTCGCGCTTCTCTTGTGCCGACTATAGATAATCAGCTGAAAGGATAATCAGCTGAAAGGATAATCAGCTCTCATTATCTATTGTTTCTAATGCGTTCGGCACAAGAGAAGCACGACGTTTGAAATAGGCCTTACTGATGTTTTTATACTTTACTTGTTTCGTTCACTTTACTCGCCAGACGCTCAGAACAGTCACAAATCAAGTCAAATTGAATTGTATATCCCTGTAAATGTTTTAATTTGTATTCTTCATTTCAATCGGAATGACTTGACGTCTTATGATTTGTTCGTTTTAATGCGCCCCAACATTATTGTATTAGTGAATTGAATGGTAACAAGAATATAGAAGTAACTGGGTTTTTAGCAAGTCTATATATCTAGTATAATAGCCATATGTAATTGTTGAGTGAACACGTACTCCCCCCGCCCCCGCCTATATCTGTGAATTATACCAAAACAAAATAACAAAATTGGAAAATTTGTGTGTTGTTTATAGGAAAAGTCTTTCCACCATCTGATGGAACCAGCTTGGTATTTGCACGTGGATCAACTGAGAGAATAGTGTGGTCATATGATGATGAAATAGAAGCGTTGAGTCGTCGGATTTGGACTTTTGAATCAAGTGATGGTAAAGTAGATGAAAGATTTGCATTTGTTGACGCTGACGGTGGGGTTAATATATTAACCAGCTTATTTGAGGTTGCAATAGAAAAGCCAGCAACATTGGTTTTAAGAAACATTAATGAAACTTATGGTGGAACATACATGTTTAGTCTTCAACCCAGCAATGGTGGTGGTGAATCTGAAGTTGTCGTTTCTATCGCAGGCAAGTTTTCGTCTATCTTGTAAACTCCTGCTAGTCTTTTTTCTCAAAATTCATTTCCATCAGTCATTTTTGGTTTGCATAGGCATAGCTAAGTCCTCGAGACAACATCTACAAACTGATTTAATTTTCAATACATATAGTATTAGTGCACTGTTGTCTCATTGTCGTGAGTAAACTTGGCAAAAATAGCTTCATTTTGGATTTCCAAACTTTTTGTTTAACTGGTAATTGCAATTGTGCTGCAGTCGAAGTCTTCATTCTCAATGACTTATAGTTTGATCAATGAAATTAAATTCGTAGTTATCATTTTTTACGTTATGGGATTTTAGAGACCACCAAATTAATGGCACTCTTTTTGGACGTCAGTGCACGTCATTTCCATAGCCTTTACATGGGATTGAAAATCAGAAAATAGCAGGGGAGATTAATTTACAGTCGTGCCAATAGAACCGTTCCGAAAAATGTTGACCAATTCATTTCCTAACTTAAAGGAACACCTCTGAACAATTCCTTAACAATTTGATAAGTTCCTTAAAAAGTTCCTGTTTTATTAACCTGATAGATTGCTTAAAAATAAAATATAAATTTGATTGGTCAATGAAACAGGAAGTTAGGAACTTTTTAAGGAACTTATCAAATTGTTGAGGAATTGTTCAGAAGTGTTCCGTCAAGTTTATAGGAAATGAATTGGTCAACATTTTTCGGAACGCTTCTATTGGCACGACTGTAAGTATTCTGAAAATATCCAAATATACATCAATTGTTCAATATTGTTGCATCGTCAGATAATGAAACCTCTTGGAGACGTCCACAAAGAAACTTTAGATGTGAAGTCCATGGTCACAAGTAAAGTGACCAATTATTGCGTTATCGCGGTACGACAACGCATGTGCTGTTTTATCAAGAATCTGCTATCCTTTAATCTTTAATCTTTAGTGCCAAAAGATATTGCATGTCTTTAGTGCCAAAAGAGACGACAGTGGGACGTACAGATGTGAAGCGAAAAGCCATGAAGTTGCAAAGAATGACACAGAAATTGAATTTATTGTAAATTGTAAGTATATAGTTGGTACTGTATACTACGCATCGCAGTAGTCGGTTGAGACCTGCATGCATGTTTGTTGCATTTTAAAATCATCAGGACGGCCCAATCCTTCCTCATTCTTCCTTCCCTTCTTCTTGCATACGTATATATTCTGATCAAACGGTACATAACATGGAACTACAATTGCTATTTGCTTTTATAATTGTTATGATCTGTCGGGCTCACTTCTCTTAATGGCAAATATCAATGACAATTTGATTGCTATTGATAATGTTGTCACATGTTATAATTATGCGCCGGCGTAAATCAGCCCAATGTATCGAATCTTGTTAAAAGTTCCTCTAAGTGTTACCATGATATTAGTAACTTAGTTAACTATGGTGACTATAGTATCCAATTTTTGGTTTTAATAAAACGGCAGGTAAACATCAACACTCGAAAATACTTGATTTAACAAACGTTAACATTAGAAAGCAGTCTCAATTTCTCTACAGATCCACCTGAAAATGTAAAGCTGATGTTGACAAGGAGTGGTAAATCAGCTACAATCAGATGTACAGCTGAAGCTCGTCCTTCAGCAAGTTTCAAAATATTCCTGAATCAAACTAAGATAGTAGCCCAAACTGAGCAAATACTTATTACACCTGAAGTAAAAAAGAATCATGTTGGATATTATACATGTTTTGCAAGGAATTTTTTGGGAAATGAATCTTCAGATCGTGAATATTTATCCCCTGAAGGTAAGATTACAGTATTTCGCCAATTTGTCTGGGTATAAATAGTCTGGTAAGAATTGCTCCAAACTGTAGCTATATGTGTACACCGACAATGGGGTAGGAACATCTTTTTTACATTCAGATTTTATTGACATTACTTTCATTTTCAAAAGCATGCAGGACCACTAGCAACACATCGAACGACGAAAGGCAACGGAATAGATCGCGGAATACCACAGTTTTTTAAATTTTGTTTTATATTTTGTTCAGTATTATAGAATTACTCGATGATGCAGTTATATTGTTATTTTTCTTTTTGATCCCCATATATTACCCATAGCCATGTTCTCTCTTTTTTATATTTACATAGACAAAGCATCTTCGAACAACACGAGTCGTGTAACTGAGTGGTATATTGTTGTGCTATTATTGGTGTCCGGGATTATTATTGGAATTCTTCTTTCCTACATTGTCTCATGTTCTCGTCGTAAATTTAGAAGTAGGAAACCTCATTCAAACCCTGAACCAAGTACAACTGAGGCCGATACAACTGATTATCAAGAGCTTGATCTTTCACAAACGAACACAGAAGACAATTATCAATCATTGAGAGTAAATGCTGCAATTAATGAGGAGGAGTCAACATATAATGAGTTGAACACAACCAAAGATGTGGAGAACAACTATACCAATCTTTAACTTGAACTTGGAATATTGTACAGAGTTTTCAAAAAATACTCCCCACTATGTTTTTTGCCATTACTGACATTACTACGACAACTACGTTCGTTTTGACAGCAGTTTCGAATTTCCATACTGGGTGAAACAACCATCATGAAATCTGATACGATATGCTTGAAATTTCAAAGACGCTCCAGCAGGTTATACAAATCGGAATTGTCGAAAAATTGGGCCTAAATCGTAGATATTCTATTTTCTATAAACTGTAAAGATGGCCACCCTAAAAATAGACAGTCAATTTGGACATGTCATTTTGATTGAGATGAAATATGTAAATAATAGATTTACCATGCATTCACCACATTAACGCGCCAACACTGCCGCAGAACCCATTAAGTAGTTCGGGCGCTTGCAATGGTCAAAACGATTATTCCTTTTTGGATTCAAATTATTTTTGTATTATTAATACGAAAACCACCCTGCTATTGCAGTATTGCTGGTTCGAGGCCCGATCACGCATTCTTTGATATTTAAAGTACAGCAATAGCACGCGTTCGCATTTTGCCAAAATACACTATTTAATACCCAAAACTGTTACGAAATCCCAAGAATACATTTTTAATTTAATGGACCTTTAATTAAGATTAATAGATATACAGTGTAGTTGTCTGCATGTCAACCTGACGCAAACAAGCATGTAATTCTTTTCTGAGTGGGACCGCGACATAATACCAAGTTCCGGCACTCGTCATTATTCTTTCGTAACTCGATTTCAAACTCAGCTCGTTCAGTCTGTCTTTCATTTCTTCAACTTCTCTAGATACATCTAGTCCATCTGTTCGCCGGTCGACCAAGCCGACACTTTCCCATCGAACACGCCGGCATCAACGGCGGGCATGCACTCTCTGTCAACAAAACATTGATCATACTGAGACACAACAGCAAGTCTTCTCTAATCGCTACACCTATCACAATCAACGTATACTTCTTTGTCTTGATCAGACATGGCTTATCCGCCGCTGAGCAATATTACCTTATCTTACAATTAGTTATTTACATAATATTAAATGGTAATATATATATATATATATATATATATATATATATATATATATATATATATATATATATATATATCAGTACCAAAGGTGGACTTTTTTCCTTTCGCCCTAACCGTGAGCCTCTACGCGCCCACTTCTTGCCTCGGCCCGTGCGCCCGCTCTTTTCTTTAGCCGCCTGAGAATTGCCTGAATATTGTTGAATACCAACAAAAGAAATGCTAATAAAGAGGAATTATAAAATAATATTATAAGATCTACAAGTATTTATATTTAAAAGCGACTGGGGACGAGTCTGCTACCAATCAATATTTGGTCAGCAACGAATACTTTTATATAGTTAATCCTTGTTATGACGTCACAAAAACTAACGTTATTTATTATTAGCATGAAAAAAATACTGGATGCTGATTGGTTGAGAGGAGTACAATTATTAAATTAATTGTACTGCAGTACAATTAATGATTTTCCCAAAACAAACAAAATGGCGGAAAGGTATTTTAAACACAAATGTGAAATGAAATTGCCATGGAGGAACTAGATGAAAATACGAACAAAAGCACCAAATTGTGTTTGAATAAAAGAATTTAATGAAGATACAAACAAAAGCACCAAATTTTGGTTCAAAGTCTGGCAGGACTGGTCTTTGGCGGGAGAATATGATGTTGGCATTGAGAAGTACGTATCCAATTTTGTCATGCTAATAATAAACAAGTAATCATGCGATGTTGCTCGTACAATTAGGGATTAATAGTACTCGTGATGTTTGTAAATTTGCCAAATTGAACTCGCCCCGGCGGCTCGTCCAATTTTGGCAAAATTTCCAAACACGTACTATTAATCCCTAATTATACTCGCCATCGCATGATTACCTATACTAATTGAGATCAAAAGTTTATCCAAGATGGCGGACATCTCATTACTTCAAGTGGAGATAGTTAAAAAACTAAGCAAAATATGAAAAATCGGTAAAAGAAGTTAACATTTAGTTTCAAAAGTTCTTTCAAGTGAGAAAATTGCCACTTTCCTTTAAGCGCCGTGTATACAGAAAAAGAAGTTTTCCTTGGCAGTCTTCCTTGACAAGTTTCCCTTGGCAAGTTTTATATTTGCTTGTGAGCAAGACAAAGAATTGACAATTTTTCCATGCCAAGGAGCCTAATTGTTCCAAAGTTATAGTCATGCCAGCTTTTGGACAAGGAAAATTTGTTCGTGTGTATACGGTCGCCAAGGAAAACTTGACAAGTGTACAAAAATACTTTTGTGGTTTTGGCAAACAAAAGTATATGTCGCAGGCGTTGATATATTGAGATATACATATAACTAATGCCTGTTTCAAACGTCTCGCTTCTCATGTGCCGAATGCATTAGAAACAATAGATAATGAGGCATTTCAGCTGATTATCTATTGTTTTTAATGCGTTCGGCACATGAGAAACGCGACGTTTGAAACAGGCCTTAATTAGCCGTTTTCCATTAACGTTCGCTTTGCCCGCGCGGGCGAAGCGTTCATTGTTTTTGACGCCCGTCACGCCCGCGTGAGCAGATTTTCAAAGCCCGCTCCGCCCGCGTGGGCAAAGCGACCGCAATGGAAACCGACCTTAAGAGTTTGGCACTTTGTTGAGACTATCATGTACGTGACAAGTTAGGCCTGTTTCAAACGTCGCGCTTTTCATGTGCCGAACGCATTAAGGTTACAGAACACCTTTGAGTGTTAATTTTGCCTAAAATTTTTACTAGTCCTACTATCTGACAAAGTTTGAACGAAAAATGTTGAAATCTCGCAGAGTTATTTAATAAAATACATTTTGCTGCAATAAGAAAAACATTGAAAATGTAATATTCAAATTCAATTTTCCCCGAAACATTTTACGGCAATTACTGATTTTCAAACGAGTTGTTCTCCTGCGGGTTTTAACGAATTTTTCTCAAATTTTCACAGGACATAGCTAAAGACGTCAGTTGCAAAATTATGTTTGTTCTAATTTTGAATATTTTAATAATAAGGAGCAATTCACTCAAACGATTCAGAAATATATTGCAGTCGTCAAAGAAATCGCCATATCAGCGGAATGACGAAATAAACAAAAATTTCCGAAAACCATATTTTAGAACAACTATTTACTGCATAAAAATGATATTTTCATAAATATATCTTAAAACCAGCAGGAACACAACTCAAAAGCGTAAAGGTAACGCGATTTAAGATTTTCCTGATTCCAATTTAAAACTTTCCCATATTTTGCATGCACTGGCTAACATTTGGTGAAAATTTGATGAAAATCGGACTGATTTTGACCGCGCAGTAGCGATTTTCCGCAAAACGCCAAAAGTGTGTCCTGTAACCTTAAAAACAATAGATAATCAGCTGAAATGCCTCATTATCTATTGTTTCTAATGCGTTTGGCATATAAGAAGCACTACGTTTGAAACAGGTCTTAGTTTCGAAACTTCAAAGCTTTCAGTTGGAAACCGGAAGAATTCAACGTAGCTACGTGACAAACAACATCAAACAAGGAAATCGAACCAGGATATTGTATCATCCTCATTCCTCACCACTCGATTTTGGTCAATTTAAAGGAACACAAAAGTTTGGCTGGTACCATTTTGTATAAGTAGTTTTACAGGAATACTATAGTTTAATATAATTAACAGGTATGTAACCAATACTTGGTGTATAATATTGGTATTATTCGTGTATGCATGAAACCATGCATGGTTGATACAGAAGCAATCGGGTATAAGATCAGACATCCATCTTCCTTCTCAGTGTCTTTGTCTTTAGTTCGTTGCACTAAATGCCTGCTATCTGTCAATAAAGTAAATTTACAACGTTTCGACACTACACAGTCAAATGTCTAACTTCTTAAACGTCTCAAAGCATATACCGTGGATGGTGAATGGAATGTGTAAATTACTACCCTTATTTTTTAAAAGGCCGCTACTAAAATTATTATTTTGTCTTATCATGTAGGTTCAAACATTCATGGTAAAGATGAGTTGGTTTGTCTTCATATATGGCCTTTTATTTTCACTTAATTTTATCTCATACGAATGTGAGGGTAAGTAATTATATATCTATAGCATCTATGCAAGGGTATACTCGTCATGGTAGTATAAATCGTGTCATGCCTCAGTTGTTTATCATTTTGAAACCTATATACTGTCATACTTTAGAGTTATTAGATCTGGCTTGATCAACATCCGTATTGTAACAATATATTCAAAGCCAAGACTGGCGGCCGGAGGGAAAGATGAGAAAACAATATATTAATTTAAGAAAACTAATATATCCGTCGAATATAGTTTTGCATTTTCTTTCTGGTATTATCATTGCTTTTGCATGGATGGTTAGGTCTTTGTCTAAAGAAGCGAATTTTGTTTCTGTTCCGCTAAAATATTGTTGACGTCAGAGTTTGATGGTCTGATCCAACTCAAAGTGAAATCATTGTTAACTAAGACGGACTGCCTATCAACAAATACAAGTGCACTGCTTTTAATTATCTATAACTCTTAAAAATTTTGAAACGGAAATATCTCATTATTACGTACATAGGAAGGATCATTTTACCACCTGATGGAACAAACCGGCTTACTATTTTACCTGGAGAAAGTGATAGTATAATATGGAATTTTGATGATGATATATCTGCAGTAGCTTCCCGGAGTTGGTCTTTCACCAGTAGTGATGGTTTACGAAAAGGGATTCTTGGAGCAATATCGTGGAATTCCCAGCCGGTGATGCAAAAGAAGATCTTACCCAGAATTAGCATAACCAATCCAGCAACATTGGCTTTAAACAACGTTAATCAAAGTTATGATGGAACATATACGTTTTCCCTTGCATCAACTGATACTGATAAATCTGATGTTCGAGTTTTCATTGCAAGTAAGTTTCTTTATTAAATGTTTATTTTGCAATAATGATTTGATTCCATGCATGCATGAACATGGGCATATGGTATTGAAAGAACATTTACAACCAATCAATTTCTATTAATTGGAAGTCTTATATGCAGCTGATTAAATGTTTATGACATAGTCAAAGAGCAAGGGCATCAATTCTGCCAGTGGAGGGAGAGGGGACGAGGGGAACGTGTCCCCCTCGCATTTTCGACTTTCGTATCGTAATATAATGTATAATAAATTACGTCCGCTTTGTTTCCCCACTTTTTGGAATGGATTTTTGAATCTACGAAGTAGAGTATATGCTATCGATGTGTTAACTGTTAGCTGTTCGATTGATCTTTTTCTGTTAACCAATCAACGACTAGTATATGCAATACGTCTTCAGATCCCGTGTTCACAGGCTAAACTTTACGGGCCCGCGTACAGTTTGGCCTCGTGTTCCGCCATTTTTAAACTTGGCAAATTTTAATTTCTGATATTATTGTGATTTTTTTGGAAAGTTTTCGTATTTCGTCACTTTCATATCAAGATAAAACCTAATTTGGTAAGTATGCTAAACATGTATACTGACCGGTTTACTAGTAAGCTAGAATTATAGCTCATTTTGTGGGTTGCATAAAGCAATATTTGCAGGCGCGTAGCTAGGGGGGGGGGAATGGGGGTCTTGACCCCCCATTTTTTGTAATGATCAATATTGTAATTCTTCCAAAAGTGACAAGAAACTAGGGGGGGGGTTAAACTTTCTTTATATATTAATTTAACGTGTTATATTATTAGTTTATTACGCACATGCTTTGTTAATCTCGTAAGTATTTCATCTATGGCATAAAATAGACCAAATCTGTGGCATATAGATCACCAAGAGGCCATGCCAAATATGCGCGTGGGGGCGTTTCGCTAACCTTAAAATTGAAAAATTTCCGGGGACTATGTCCCCGGCTTTTAGAACAGTACTTTTATGTATTTGGCACTTTAGACCCCCCCCCCCCATTTGTATGGGGTTGGCTACGCCGCTGAATGTTTGGTAGTGTGTTTGCCAGTGTTGGTCTTGAGAGGGCAAATAAACCAGAAAGTAAATCTTTTCGGAGGAGAAATAACAAGCCCATAACTAAAAATAATTCGAGCAAAACGGTCTTTCGTTAAAAGGAAGGCTGGTTAATAGAAATTGGTCTTTTTGAGTGACATAATCATTTGTCATCATCGATCCGTGCAGCTGTTTAACAATTATAAAAACATTTGTTGTGCATGAAATTAGTGAAGATATAAAGTAGCAGTTTGTGAGAAAACTGCGGGTCTAGGGAGCGGGAACTCAGCCATGTTCGAAAGTATTAATAGTTTCCGTGAAAATATTTCAGTTCCAAGACAGGGGGGATGAAAATCGTTTTCTAGGCACTTTTCGAGGTCACAGAAAACGGCATATGGCTATGAGTAATTCTACACATTCATTGGAAAGTTTGGAAAATTTATACTGGATAATGCTCAGAATGCAGTTCTGGACTCTGAAGCTCCATGTGAAAAAATCACTAAAGAAGTAAAGTAAAGGTTCCTTTTCGTATGTATATAAACATTACAACCCTAAGCGTCACATGCGTCACTTGAAAGTTTGCCCAATTTGTATGAAAAACTGGAAGTTAACATTTTTATGACAAGTAATACAAATATTATAAGTGCATGATTGCTGTCAAATGAAATTTCTAGTGAAAATTCGTAGTGAACCTTACAGTCAGAAACACAAAAAGTGTCCCACTTCCGCTTTTATAGTCTGTTGTGAATTACAGTAATTTGTTCTGTTTTTCTGTAGCGGTTACCGATTTATCGGCAAATATACAGCGATAAAATTTAGATTTCTTTCCTTTATATGATAATTTGTAGGAAAAGATGCATTTTTCGTTAGATTCATTGCATAAAAGGTGCGAAATTTAAATTATTGCCTTTATCACATTTCAGATGCACCAAATGTGACATTCAGTTGTTCCAGTGCCGTCACAGTAAATGAAGGTGATAACTTTACATGTGTGTGTAGAGGTGAAGGTGGAAACCCTCCAGCCGATGTAACTTGGTATAAAGATGGCACCCAGATTGGTGGAACAGGAAAAGAAAAAAAAACATTAACTCTAAGTGACGTCAGTAGAACAAATCGTGGTACATACGAGTGTGAAGCCCGAAGTCACACCGATGACAGGTTTGCAGATAAAAAATCAATCGAAGTAGAAGTTAATTGTAAGTAATTTATAGTTGATTTATATAGTTGATTTAAATCAGACCCATGCAATTACACAGTATTTTTGATCCTACTTAAAGAAAGTGAAAAGTGATCTACTGCCTGTAACCCTACTAGCTTAATGCACCAATCAATGTTATGCCCGACCCTAGGGAGGGCGGGGATACACGGGGAATTGACCTTATTTCCCTGCTTCTGGGTTGGGGATTTTATTTTATTTGACATCAAGGAAGCTCCCAGGGTCGGGCGTTTTGACATACTTGTTACCAGTCTCCTATCATTTTTGCAAGCGAGACCGACATAATGGCGTGTTTCAGGAAAATCGCAATGTGAATTTATGAATAATATCACTTTATTTGCTGCTTTTTAAAATAAAAACTTGTTAACTTTTGTCTTTTTAGTACATAATTTAATAGACTAGGAAATAAATAATAAGAAAGGAGAAAATAATGATTACAATTGAATCCTAGAGCGACAGGAACGGCTCTTAGCCATTTTATAGCGTTCAGAATTTACAAATGCTATATTATATAAATATAAATAAATTGTTTGAGCAGATTATAACATCTTTGTAGTTTTCTTCTAACTCAGGGGTCCCCCCACCTGACTACGATTGACCACAAAGTGCTGCTTCACAGCAGGGCCCATTGACACAAAAATATTGAAAATGACAAATGCCCCTGGGTTTGCCCTCCCTCCCTAGGGTCGGGCATAACATTGATTGGTGCATAAATAAATATATGTCCATGCAGTGTACTATAGCTAACGATTCAAATGAAAGATTGTGGAGCTGAATTCGTTCTTGTGGCCTTGTAAATCCAATCACAGTAAATAACATATATATGTAAAGGATGAGGTCGGAATGCAGTGACATGCATGTAACATGGTATGGAACAGATAGTAGAGCATACAAATAGTGTATCTCAAAGCCACGTAAATGTTTTCGGCAGCTTAACTTGATCTTGCGGGTTGTAAAAAAATGGCTAAAAATTTTAATCAGCATCCTTTTTTGTTGTGACTAGAAAAACATCGATTGAATGAATAAAACTACATGCATTAGCTTTATAATTTATGTGTTTTCGATTGATATACACATTACGAGTTGCTATTCGCAGGCTAAACCCCAAAGAGATTCCTGCGGGAGGAGGCTATACGAGTCTGTCATTTTGTCGGACAGATTTCTGGTTCTTCGAAACATTCATGGCAAATTGATAGTTTGTTGATGATGTGGTCCGGTGACTTTTAGCCAATATTTTTTATATATATACTGTATAGTTAATATGAATTACTGAGAACGGTCCAATGAATGGCATCTTATTCATTCTATTTGAAGGTTCCTTAAGTTATTAAAGTAGCCAATCAGTATATAGTGGTTTTGATAGGTAAATTTGATGACATTGCCATAACAGTAAGTCAGTAACCTAGGATTACATCATTACATGCACTAACGTTAAAATTCAAATTTTTTCATAGATCCACCTGAACGTACGCGTTTGAATTATGATCCTAAATCACTTACCATAACATGTGACGGTGGTAAAGCTCGTCCTCCAGCAAGATTTGAAATATTTTTCAACGAAACTAAGTTGGTCATGAACGAAACTAAGTTGGCCATGAACGAAACTAAGTTGGCCATGAACGAAACTAAGTTGGCCATGAACGAAACTAAGTTATTGGCCATGAACGAAACTAAGTTGGCCATGAGAGGCAAGACGTATACCATACCTGAGAGGAATAGCATTTATTCTGGAAATTATAGATGCGATGCAATAAATAAACTGGGGAGAAGATCTTCATCATCCGAATATATATTACCTGGAGGTAAGATTTAACATACAAATTTTTGTACAAATAAGACTGGGTATACACTATAAAGATAAACAGGTTGATTTGTTTTATAGTTTATATTATTTTTATTTTGATAAACATAGTACCACCAACGACACGTCCACCGACAACGTCAACGACGCAAGGTAATCAAACAGGTAACACAATACTACAAAGATAATCTATTTCAAAGATCATTTGGAAATTTGTTGATTGCAATAATTTTTTATTTTATTATGGTTTATACAGTTACAATACTTGTTTTATTTTGCTAGTATAATGCACTCAGTTCCGGAATTGTAATTTTCTTGAGTTTTATCCTCAAAATCGTCAGTTCTTTACAGTAACAATACTTTATTATTGAAAAACACACTAAATTTAAGAAAATTTATCAGTAGTGTCTAGAATTGTCATTGGAATTGTAGTTCTTTCCTACATTGTCTGGTGTTCGCATCATAAATTTAGAAGTAGAAAACCTGAACGAAAAGCTGAACAAAAGACAACTGAAGCTGATACAACTTATCAAGGGCTTAATCTTTCAAAAATAAACAAATTAAGAAGATAATTATTAATCGTTGAGAATGAATGCGGCAAGTAATAAAGCTGCAAATGGCGAGGAGTCAACATATACTTATTTGAACAAAACCAGAAATGAGAACAATTACCAGGCAATAATTAAGTTAATCCTCAAAAAAAATTTTAGGTTAAGGAAGCCTCTTCTTCAAACATCTCTATATTCTGTAGGGTTTACATGTGTCAGATATTTTAAAACCATAGTGACCACAAAGAACTTCTATAGAAATGTCTGCATGGAGAGACCAGGTTGAAGGCCAAGGAGGAGCTTTTTATTCAACTGTGAAGATTGAGAGGTCCTTGGGCCCGAGATCTATATAGTTTAATTAAAATTCTTTTATGAAACAAAAATACGACTTATTTCGTCTTTATTCTTCAAGGCAGTGGCGTAGGAACCGTGGTCATGGGGGTTTTCTAATCAGTGGCGGAAATTCACTTTTTCCTTGGGGGGGGGGGGCAAAGCATCCTAAATTTCCGACAAAAACCTTCAAATGTCCGACAAACCCCCCCATCTGCACTCAAAAAGACTGTTTTTAGCCCTGTTTTAGGGAAAAATTTCCGAAAATTCTCAATTTTCCGTAAAGGTTGGGGGGGCGGGGACGGTCGCCCCCCCCCCAAGATTTCCGCCACTGGTTTTCTTTATGCATTGTGCCCTTACTCCAAGCCTTAACATTGGGAAAGTGGCGCCTTTTCTAGCAAACGTTGCTTCCTATATATGCCCATTGTTCAAGGTGCATGCAGCATTTCCTAGTGTGTCCTGAAAGATATATTGGCTCACTGCTAGATATGTAGTTTGAAATAAGTTGAAGCATATATTTGTCAAGTATTTTAATAAATATACGAATAAATCCTGGTACTCGGTTTTATTTTGCGGCAATGCCTCACGTGTACATTCCGGCAACTATCCTGACGATCGGCAGCATCATTTTACAATTTGAAGTTTTGAAACCGGACTAAGAATTCTTTCTGACCAGGGGCGGCACTAGAGGGAGGGAGGAAGACCCCCAGTTGTCAGATAATCGACAAATTATTGTATCGTAGTAGGCAAATTGTTTTCCCAGTGTGCAAAACATGAAATGGATAGGAAGGGAAAAACTAAAATATTGGAGTGAAACTGATTAAAAACTAGCAATGATAGCTGAAATTAATCGTAAGAAAAAACTAAATGAGTAACGGTACGTCAAACCAAGAGATAATGAAAAAATAATGTCCGAAAATCCCCCTCCCTCTCCCAGCCATGTATGGTGTCCCATCCACGCCAAAAATCAACTTTTTTTTTCAACACAACTTTTTATTTTCAACATAACTTTTTATTTTCAACACAACTTTTTCATATTTGCAACACAGCTTTTTGTTTTCAACACAACTTTTTCGATTTCGTACTGTACTGATTGATAAAACCTAACTGCATGTGACAAAACGTAAGGGTCTACTTGCCTTTTTTCGAACAAAGCTGTTTTGTTTCTTTACAGTTAAACCAAAAGACACATCCATTGCAGAGAATGAATGTGGAAATTATTTCGCTTCTGGTTTCTTAAATGTGAAGGGTAAGATAAGATTTTAAAACACATTTTCGTTTCCCATTCTATCACCGGACAAAACGCACGTGGGAGGACTAACACGGCAAGATAAAACAAAACGCATGCATGTAAACAGGGGGCGAGCAATAATATACACAGATAAATTTTGGCTTGAATTGGGGCATAATTCTATTACTATGATATAGCTCCGGATACAGCCTATCGGTATCAAGAATGAAGATATAATCTGCTGTGCAGATGTAATTATTTATATAGCATAATATCAGCTGTTTAGGTATGTATATTTTACCTGGGGAATTCTATATTACTACAGCTACAGTCCCTTGTTTGTACAACTCGAGTTAATGAATGCATACACATTTATTATTTCTAATGAACAATGATTTTAGTTACAATAATTGATGTATAGGATTATGTAGAATTAACACGTTATTGGGTTATGTTTGCAAGTTTATACTTAATCTTTTGATTACCAATCAAACAATGAATCAAATCTACAATACAACTACAATAACACGTAATAACACAGCAGATGTACAATTTGACACAATCACCAAGCAATAACCTATGACGGCATGATCCCAAAGAACGGTAATGGATCATATCTTAACTTATTTTACACGTGAAGAAAAATTACAGCCGCCCTGAAAAATACGAAAAAATCATTTAGAGATTTTTTTACAAATGTTGTCAATTATTCACCATGCATCAACAAAGTAGTCCCAGTTCAAGTTACTCATTTCCTCCAGTGAGGACTGTAATTGCGAGAATTTATTGGTCTATTTTAACAAATTTAATATCACATTATTACCATGTGCAACAATGTCATTAGCATCTTGTCAATTCCTTTGGAACCCATGCAGTTGAAAATTCTTAGCTTATTTCTAACTCATCAATTCTCCAAATGTACCTTCAGGAGAGGCTACAGGTTCCAAAGTGGATTTTGAGAGTTGTGGAACTGTCGTGACGTTGGTGTCAGGATTTATTCTTGGGATTCTCTTTTCCTACATTGTCCGATGTTCTTATCGTCGTTGGTTTAGAAACGGAACAACTGAACGAAACCTTGAACCAAAGATAACTGAGACTGATACAACTTATCAAGAGCTAGATCTTTCAAAAATGAACAAAGAAGATAATTATCAGTCGTTGAGAGTGAATGCTGCAAGTTATAACGCTGGAAATCAAGCTGGAAATGACGATAACTCTACTTATACTGAGTTGACAGACAAAACCAGAGATGTGGAGGATGTGTATCAATCTTTAACTTGAACTTGGAATATTATAAAACTGTTAAGGGCTTTCTAACCGTAGTCAATAGAATAAAAGAAACAAAAATTCGAAGAAACACAATAGCTAAACCTCATTAGGAATATAATGGACTATTGGAACAGTGTGTGTGTGTGTGGAGGGGGGTTTTACAGTTCACTTGGTATATCATGTTTTTCGCCACCTTCTGCCTATATAAGCATTTTTTATAAAATGTTTTGCTTGTATATGGATTCTTCCCGTTCATTTCCCCCTTCACTTTTGTAATGGTCTATTCCTTATATCTATGCTGGTATATGTTTATATATATATATATATATATATATATATATATATATATATATATATATATATATATATATATATATATATATATATATATATACTATAGTCACATGAATATTGTGTTGTCTACAACAGGCCGCTCCGGCCATTTACCGTTAGGAATACTCCGGATAATCGAACCGTAAAGGTCACATCCCATGGCTGTTCTGACTGTTCTGGCTGCCCCTACTTTCGAGTAACATGACTGCTCTGGCTTTCCCTATACTCCGAACAGTAAATGGAACAGCCTGCATGCAATTCAACCAATAACCGACAATGTTTTGGTCAAATCATCTATTCATGACATTACACAATGGTTAATTTAAAATGGTTGAGTGGAGAAACTATATACGCACGTGACGATCAACATGGTCATGGATGAATAAGTTCTGTTGTCACCGAGTTTCCCCACCACTTTTAACTGCTAGCTATATGCTAACTAACCATGCAACTGCTGTTAATTATACAACATGCTAACCTGGCAACGTTTTAGTAAAACATTGTCAAGGTGCATGTTCGGATTTTCTGCCGATATATACAACCTAAATTATGAATCAGTGAATATATTTTATAAAATAACATGTATATAACGCGTATTCTGATTGGTCGAAAGCCGTGTTTGGATCAGGCCATCCAAACACGGAAGACTACTGTGTTGTTGTTATTTTATAAAACAATTACTTTATGGTTTCCGTGTTTGGATGGACTGATCCAAACACTTGGGAATGTTGCTCGAGTTAAGAAAAGCGGGCAAAATCACTCGCCTTCGGCTCGTAATTTCGCTCGCTTTTCTTAACTCTCGCAACATTCCCGCGTGTTTGGATCAGGCCATCCAAACACGGAAACCATAAAGTAATTGTATAATACCAGTACAAATAGGTTAAGGGGAACAAGTTTTTAATTATATGTTGAGACTACTTTCTTTATACAAAATTTGATAAATGACATGTCGCTCTTGATTTAATAGTCTCCAATAAACAGTTTCTCTGATTACTTTTCTCTTTTGTCATCTACTTGCTTCGTGCGGAAATCACCCAATGTTGACGGCTAAATGTCTTCTAATCCATGTCTCAATAAGACAATATCCCATTCATTGCGAAGACAAAAACAGCATGAATTTGAATAATGAGATGACATACACCCTTTCGATAATTACGTCATTTGGCTTGGGAGTCTCACTCTCATGAATCGTGAGCCAATCACCTTGTGTAATTCACTAATGAGAACGAGGCTCCAGGACCAAAAAGTATGTGTGACGTAATTATCGCAAGGGTGTATCAGCAATGTGCAACCATGCATCCATGCCAAAACTATTATATTAGAAATATTTTGCAACCAAAATTTTGGCGTAGTGCAATTTCGCTGTCTTTGAGTGATATGCGGCCGCTTTTAGTACAAAATCAATTGATTTTGTACATACAAATAAAACTTTAACTCGCAGTTTGCCGACTATATATCACGTTACGTTGGGTTAAAGCGAAAGATTTATTTAATTCATCGTGGCAAATATCAAACAAGGAAATAGAACCCGCAGAATATTGTAGCGTCCTTTCTGCTTCTCAATTTTGAACAGTGCGACAATACAGCTGGTACTAGCCTAGGTATTGTAAAAGTAAATTTACAAGATCAAGAATACTACTTATAGCAGGTATATATGTATAACTATGTAATATTTGTTATGATAGACTGGTGGAATATTCGTATGATCTGAATTATGCATTCAATTTCATAGCAACCGTGTAATATTAGACACGTCTCATAGACCCATGGTTTGTCGGCAAACTAAATTAATGCTGAATTTCTCAGGTTCAGTGAAATTCATTCTTGAATCACAACTTATTGTTTCAATACTCCAGCTATCTGGCGCGCGACTTTAAACCTTTATTGCTTTAATTAAAAAAGACACTACACTTCTCAAAGAGTCCAAAACGTTCGGAATGGAATTTGTTCAAGGATTAATTAAATTCATTTGGGAATGGTCGACAAGGAGTTAACATATGAAAGATATTACATGTAATGAATGTCATGTATCTTATAAGCAATATCCATGCAGAATACTGGACCTCCCCATTCCAGCCCAGTCAAGCAGAAAATCTTTTGTAATTCAACCAAAATTTGATGGATTTGTCCTTGACATATGACCATTGATTCCACAATTTACCTTCTGACGTACAAACACAAACTAACATGCACACGAAGTCCCAAAAGCTAGGTGAAAATGCATTTCTGGCGGATCCGAAGTTAAAAAAAAGTTTCACAGGAGGCAGGATCGGAAGTGTGTCTCATATTTGCATATCAAGTTTCAATTGCTATCAAAGCCGGAAGAACTTTACACCATACAAAACAACACACCATATTATAGCGTTAGGTGGCCAATTTACAGGAATATTTGTTAAGCAGGTAAGTAACTATGTAATATTGTAATAAACTTTTAATTTGAGTGATTCAGCATTGACTTTTGGTACTATTCGTATGAAAACGTATTATATACAGTATGATATTATAGTTCATTGCCCCCACATATTTCCGTTCTCTGACTCTGGTTTGTTTACCAAGTTATGTAATCTCAATGAAATTTAGATATGTGTCCAAGATACAGTGGAAGGGCTCTGCTAACTGACTTCATTCTGAGGACAAGTACAAGTACAATTAAGTAAATCTGCAAAGAACTAACTATATTATATATGCAGTAACAGCTTAATCAGCCTGAATTAATACAAAATGTATATATAAGCTTTTTGCACGGGCCACATTTTCTCACCTCATTGTATGTGAAAACTGAAAAGTGTATAGCTAGTAAGTTTCTATCCGAGGGTGTCCATTATATGAAGATTTTGCCACTACCCCACCTAACCCAACACCCCTGATTCACCCTTAGAAGTTCATATATAGCAACCAAATTCAATATCAGATAAATATACCTAATGGTTAATCCCTCAATTTATAAAATACATTGCCAACCCAATGTTTTCACATTCCAGTCTAATGTGATGGTCTGGGGCAATCGGGACGTTAGATTACGCCAAAAGACACTAAATTGCTCAGGATTTTAGGCATCTAAGAAGGATTTTGACTTTTGTAGATGTAAATTTCGAGTGTGAATTTTTGAACATTTATTAGACCTAACCAGGAACAGTTGCGCAAAATGTAACTATATATAGACCCTCTGGCAGGAATCAAACCCGCGGTCCTGTAACCTGAAGTTCAGGCTCTAATTTGAAATAGGGCCTGACACAAAACCTGTCTAGAGCGTGGGACGCCCACATGTTATTTTTAGACACACACGCAATATGATTGACAAGTGTTGTAGATTTCGTTACACAAAAAAATTATATTCTCATGAACATGTCCGCAGAGCATTTTGCTTTTTAATTAAACTTAAAAATTCAAGGTACTTTTATACAATTAAGAGTCAGTTGCTCTATTTAACCGAACAGGCGAACAGCAAACAAAGATTTAATTAGTCAGTTATGTGCACGGCTTGACTGCCAAGCTTTCTCAAGGTCTCAACTCGCTGGACGCGGATATACTCTAACGACTAACGGGCTAATAACAGCAACAATTAAATTCGCAATCATACCACGAAGAAGGCGATGTAGCTCAGAAAACAACGCCGGTAGGAACTGATATTAGAAATTAGACTTTTGCCGGCGAAGCAATTTGGCAGAACATCTTGGCTGTCAACAACAAGCTTTCGAATACATGACTAGTTTGGCTGTTCTTTCAGCGTCGTGTGTATCCAAAATTCGTCAAAGATTTTGATGAAGCCCTTTCAAAATACTGTTTGTTTGATTTATTTTCTGCCATAAAGCATAAAAGAAAAGAAATTCGAAGAAATCGATAATGGAATTTGTTACGTGCGTTTGACCTTTATATTAATTCTCGCCTTGACCAAGCTATTTTTAAAACTGTTGTTTATGTGAACTTGCAACCAATCAAAATCCTTCATGATGCTGATCAACCAATCAGATTTCCCGTCCACCAGGTGGACGGGAATCCCACACTTTAGATAGGTTTTGTGTCAGGCCCTATTCTGTGATAGGGTCTGAACTTCAGGTTAGCAGCGCTCTAACCAACTAAGCTACAGAGTCCAGTTGTCGAGCTGTACTAGATACCAGGTGATCTCGTGTTCGTATTTTAGCCAATCAGCACTCAGAAAGGGTTGTCCGAATAGAAATCCATTTTGATGTATTCAGTCAATTATATCTTTCGTTATTCTTTATGAAACTAGTTGAAATTTTGTAGTTATGTTTGGTTATGAGAACTATAGCTCTGACGAAAATATGGAATCGAAATAATGTATATTACAGGAGATATTCAGTTGTTTTAATCATAAAATGGATTTCTATTTGACAACTAGTGCCAGTACTTTTCCGCGTATCAAGATCACCTGGTAGGTATTACAATCGATCAATATTTTTGCTATGTAGTGCTATTTTAAGAAATATCCATAAATCATCATTTATATAAAATAATAGCAATATACCGCAAACAGCCTTCAATCGCTATCACGCAGCCTCCTACCGTATTTTTGTTCCATGTATATACCGTAGCTTTTAATTTAGACGAATTTTCTGTGGTGTAGAGGGTAAAATACTGCACCCTATACTCCTATAGTCAGCGCATTGATTCAGGAAATGTTTAGTTTCTTTACGTTTCGGTTCGTTTTGTTTAGTTTAAGCCTAAGAGGACGGTTGTTCGAAAACCATCAGTAGGTTAACCTTCAATTCAAAGCAAGCATCCCCTCAGTTTGTTTATAAAATTGGAAATATTTCTTCAGTACTTTTGCGTGGATCAATAGGAGTTTTGTTTTCTGACGTTTTGTAATAAACAAACGTGCAGAGAGAGAGAGATACACAAACTAAAACGACGGGTAAACTTTTAATCCAGGGGCGGGTTGTTTAAATCTGGGTTAGCGCTAACCCTCGGCGCGGTTAAAATTTAACCTGCTGTTTTGGTTTATGTATATTTCCACACGTCTGTTTATTTCAAAACTTCTACTGGTCCAGACAATACTTCTGAAGAAATATTTGTAAATTTATAAAGTTTGCTTTAAATTTTAGGTTAACCTAGGGTTAAGCTATTAATCTGCTTTCGAAAAACTGGCCCCAGGGTTAGATCTAATCCATATTAATTTGAATTGGCTTTGTTGTGTGTCTGATGTAGCATTTCCTTCTTCAACCATAGATTTATTAATATTTTATTTGTTTCATATATAGATTAATATCACGAGATATATGACTGGTTTGGCGTTTGCCATATTACTTGGTCTCTATTTTTTGTTATTTCCTTGTAAAGGTAAGAACTCTATTAAACTAGACAGAACAAATAATAGATTAATTGTCACAGTTTTTTCTCGATAAGCACAACAAGCTATTAATACTCAAGGTTTTGGTTTTAGGGAATATAGGCCTGACGGAACAAAACATATTTATTTATACTATTGGGTGCTTTTTCGCATTCTTGAATCTAGCTCTATATGACTATGTAGTGAAAACAATTATAATCTTGCATGGGCATAACGCTTGAGTCCATTTCCTGCAGCGCTGCAAAGTTTATCATGTGCATTCAGAAAACAAACTTCGCGATTTCATCTCGCCGTAAATTCAAATATCTGAACACTTGTGAGGAATTTTGACAATGCGCAGCCTTGCAAGATATATGTTTTCTGAGCAAACGTCTTTAATATTTATTCCGTCATATTTTTTATAAAAGATCACCGGCCGCCTGTTGGACTTGTTGGGATTAAATTGGACTTCTTTACTTGGCTACAAACATACCGCATTACCGCTATAGTTAGCTTAACTGCATTTGCTTATTTTTTGTATCTCATGCCACAGTTGCGATGTGTCTTTTAGCCATCCCCTTTCCCCTGCATGCACGATTCCCCTTGTAACAATTAATATGTGATTGTTATAGTAAAGCACTCTTCCCATACCCCCAATTAAAACATCACATATTCGTCTGTGAAGCACCCAATCATGGATAAGTTCTATAGGAACATTGGCTGACCCTGAAACGTAATCTGTTCCATTATTTTTAACTTTTTAAAAATTAGATTTTTTGTATTTATAGGATTAGGAGTGATCATTTCACCACGTGATGGAACAAAGCTTACATTTGTACCTGGATCAAGTAGGAATATAACATGGACATTTGATGATGCTAAAGCAGCTTACCGGGATTGGTCTTTCACAAGTAGTGACGGCTTAGGAAGTGGGTTACTTGGAGGAATAGTTTCTGATTTTGAGCCTCAAACAACAACGGACGTCTTACCCGGGGTTAACATAATAAAGCCAGGAACATTGGCTTTAAGCAATGTTGATCAAAATTATAATGGAACATACACCTTTCTCCTTAAAGTAAATGGCAAGCCAGATGATACGTCTGATGTGATTGTTTTTATTGCAAGTAAGTTCATTAAAAATATGCAATATAAATTATTTGAAGGTTTCGTCACGGACAGTTTATAGAAGGGACAAGGCAGCATGTATGAAGATCCATGCATGCATGTATGCATGGGCATGCTTATTAGAAGTTATCATATATAACTGATTAAAGTATTTAAGACAAAAAGATTCAGATCTATTCGATCATTTTTGAAAATCGAACATGCATAATTATGTCAACAACCAAAAATTTTGAAATCCAATGACGAAGACTATGCAATTAACGTCGCAAATTTATTCAGCAGTTTGGCGGTCGCTAGTTGTACGGCGTCTTCATCACATTTTTCATACATGTGTATAAAGTCTCGATCAATGCAATATTTTGAAATACTTCTTATATGAAATAATTTTTATACTGATCCACACTGGAAAATTTAAACAATTTGCAAATTTTGGTTTTCTAAACTTTCTAGAAAATTTCCGCGCTTTTTCTCGAAGATCTCTATATACTATATAGAATTTTAGAGGTTGACCGAATTTCAAACCTTATTTCAGGTAATTTCTCCGTATTTTCCACAATATGAGAGTGTTTCAAATTTTTTAGTGGTCCGTGCATTGCCTCCCAGAGAAATTGGGGGGCCCTGGACAAATTTGTAATTCGTGGGCCCTATTTTTCCCCCAAAAAAGTTGGTTAGCGAGGGGGGGTTGGAAAAAGTTTTTTTGACATCGCTTTATTTTACTACCGGTATTATAAAATTGTCATTGTCAATGACTTACTGGCCATTTTCAATGAAAATCCGCATCAAAATCTAGTTCAAATTTATCCAAAATACCGTTGGCAACAAATTACTTTAGTTCGCAACAAGTCCCGAAAACGCATAAGTGCATGAGTATATCCTGCCAAATGATATCTTTAGTAAACAAGCATTTATTGACTTCAATAATTCTCTCCATGACTGAATTTATTTATTTACTCGTCCTTTAATTTTTAATTTTTTTGTTAAAACATCGATCTTTGCCCAACCTTAACTTTACAAAATAACTTTACCGTACATTTTTAGTAAAGCCAACTGTGACAACTTGTTCCAGTCCTGTCACAGTGATTGAAGGGAATGATCTTACATGTGAATGTCAAGGACAGGGTGGTAACCCTGCTGCCAATGTAACATGGTTTAAAGATGACATACAGATCGGTAAAACAGGAAAGGAAGAACAAACATTAACTCGACGTAATGTTAGTGCTGCAGATAGCGGAACGTACAAATGTGTAGCCGAGAGCTATCCAGATGCAAAGTTTAAAGATGAAAGATTAATCACAGTTGTAGTAAAACTTAAATGTAAGTATATCGTTGCCGTTGGTACTCAAGTTAAGCATTATACAGTATTTCAGTGTATATTTAGTAATAGAACTACTGTTCATAACCTTACTACTAGCTACTAGCCTAAATATACAACATGCATGCAGTGACTGTTTTATACTGACTGTGCAAGAATAGAGCTTTGCAATACAGGATAAATTGCTAACGATTCACACGCATGAACGATTAGTGTAATTGCATGAACTATATATAAACTATAAGCTTTCTGGCTGAAATTGATCTTGCATGTGACCTTTTGTTCTTCTGCTTTAAATTCTGCAACTTCTTCAGCAACTTAAAAACAGGAAAATAAACATTTAAATTATAAACTGAAATGTTGAAATATGCAACTTATCCTCGAACAGAATTCATTTAATTTTAAACAAGACTCTCTATAAGCGTTAGTTGTATGCTACGTGTTACTCATGCAAAGTTCTTCTTTCTTACATTTTATTCAATTAACGAGTATTTTTAACTAAACTTTTTACAGAACATTGTTTGTTGTTTTTTCTAGCGCTAGACTATAATCTGAGCCTGTTTCCTTAGAACTGCCACTGATACTTATTTGAGTGTAATAGTCGTTCTATAATTTTTACGTTACTAAATCAAACATGCAACGTAACGCCTTTTTTGAGACAGTCAGCAATTGTCTATTTTCATTAGTATGATAGAGATTTTGTTTCTTCACAGTTAAACCTAACGAGACAGCCATTAGGCTTACACCAGAAAGATCTGTAATTGGTGAATCAGTTAACATAACTTGTGAATCTAGTGGTTTGCCTAAGCCACGTTATTCCATAATCCATAATGACACTGAGGTAAGTAGTGAGAGGACGTATACCATATCCAAAGTGAACTGGAGTGATGCTGGAACATATCAATGTACTGTGGAGAATGAACTTGGACGTAATTCAAAGTACTCTTGTTTGACCGTCGTAGGTGAGATATTCAAATCACCAACTATTTATAAAACTGAAAATGTTATGCCTATGACACGAAATTTCACCCCAAATGTTTATGAATACATTGTAAAGATCACTTAAAATGACTTAATAATTTATTTTTTAGAATTTTGGTAACTTGCTTCCTTAGCAAGATATTCAACTTTGTTTCATATGCAAATATCACCGGTGTGACATCACATCGCATAATGACATTTTGAAAACGCAATATTTTACCTTGATAAAATATTTTTACAAACAAATACGGAGGGTTAATTACCAGTTATGAAATTAATATATATACAGGGGGCAATTTTTAAGTTTTTTAGATACGTATTGTCACGCCGGTGATATTTGCATATGAAACAAAGTTGAATATCTTGAAAAGGAAGCAAGTTACCAAAATTCTATAAAAAAATTATTAAGTCATTTTAAGTGATCTTTACAATCCAACCATAAACATTTTGGGTGAAATTTCGTGTCACAGGCACTTTAACATTTAATGATCTAGTTTACCGACATGACTTGGCATGAAACATGATTGGACTGATGGGATGAGATGGGGCTACGGAATGCATATTGGAGTCCATTTTATGTGTTTTTTTTTTGTATATGCATTTGTGCTCCTCATTCTTGTTATTCATAGTTTCAGGTTACTAGAAAACTTAGCTTTATATACATTATCTTAATACTAGTCTAAGTACACCTTCACGAGTGCACCAGCTTAAGTACACGGCAATAATCATTGGAGTACCAGTGAGGTACGGCTGTAAATATTGATCCATTTTAATTATGAACGAAAATAACTTTGCCTGCATAATTGTATCTTCGTCCTTTTTTCTCTCTTCTTTCTGACCACTACAGTTTACAAATAAAATAATTTTTAAAGAGCACCGCCCTCAAATAAACCCCGAATCCAAAGCACAAAAAAACTGATGTAATAAGTGGTAGTCTATTAGGTACCATTTCTGCACCAGAATGATACCTACTGCATTATTGTGCGATATTCACAAGTGTCCTATATTCACCATCACCATATATAACCACAAGTGAGCACTAATTATCAGAAATTTAAGTGCAAGTAACTGAAAATTAACTTTATTATGTCCATTTAATCTTACTTCTCTGAATGAATCAGGGCAACCTAATAGAAAAAATATACTTGCAAGTGATGAACCAGGCGGGAATCGTAATCGTAGTATAAAGATTAATTCCCAGCATAACGTACGCAAAAGAGCCATATAGACAATAATATAGACATAAAATTTAGTTAAGAAGTACTAACGTTTCGTCTTTAACCTTAGACATCTTCAAGTAGAAGATGTCTTAAGATGTCTTAGGTTAAAGACGAAACGAAAGATGTCTTAGGTTAAAGACGAAACGTTAGTACTTCTTAAAAAAAATATACAACTTGTTATGCATTAATAATGTTGACATATACGGTATATAATATCCATAGATATCTTATATGCAGTATACTAGATATAGTGCATTTAATTATTCTGCAATACAAAAATTGAACTCGTGATTGCAGACTCAGGATATTCCCATGAAATGAGAAGACTCGTATGTTTTCTATTTCTTAAACAGGGAACTTAAACATTAAGTTAAACCTATTCCAAATACATTTTCAAATTGTTCAAATGATGAAAGTTATTGTTGTTTTTTAAGCGTTTATTAGCGAGTGGGAAACTCCAACATGGCCGCCATCTATTCAAATGGGGGTAACCGCTGGAATATTCTTGGCTTCAATTTTACTTAAAGAGATGCGTTATCTATAGTGTATATAAGATATCTATATGATAATATCGCATCAGCATGTACAACACTGTCATTGGCATCTTCTCAGTTCCTCCGCACCCTGCATACAGGTACAAGTATTTTGAGCTATCTAACTTGTCAATTTTCCAAATGTTTCTCTTCAGGAGAGAAAGCAGCTTCTAAGAAAGTGGATTGTGAGAGCAGCACTGAAACTGTTGTAGTATGGCATATCGTGGTATCTTTGGTGTCTGGAGTTATCATTGGGCTTTTTCTTTCCCACATTGTCTCGTGTTCTCGTCGTCGCTGGTTTATAAACAGAAAACCTGGACGAAGTTCTGAACCAAAGACAGCTGATATTGATACAACTTATCAAGAGCTTGATCTAACAAAAATAAACACAGAAGATAATTATCAGTCGTTGAGAGTGAATGCTGCAAGTTATGACGCTGGAAATCGAGCGGCAAATGACAATGACTCTACTTATACTGAGTTGAACAAAACCAGAGATGTGGAGAACAACTATCAATCTTTAACTTGAACCTGGAATATCTTTTGAAGATAAAGGTAGCCCCCTTCATGCATCTTCATTGGGATCACATGTACCACATGGTTTAAAACCACAGAAACCAGGGTATAAACTTTAGCGATGCTTGCGGAGAAGGGCAGATTAAAAATCAAGGAAAATGTTTTTATTCAACAGTGGGTCTGAGACTGTCCCATGCATGGGTCCTTTTTATCGAATAAAGATCGATTCTTTTTCTTCTCCAGACGTAATTGGCAATGGCTGCGCTAACACCAAACCCACCACACCTGCACATCTGGTCTCCCCGTCTGTTTCTGGTTCCCTCAATAAGATACATTCACAACCATGCACAACGCGTCCAGCTTGTTTTAGCACGAAAAACTTTATATTACTTGTCATGCCCTTAGCACTATTTAACAGTCAATTTTAAACAGTTTGAAAAAATCAACAACCGACCCCTGACATATGTAGCTATACAAACGTTTACACATGCCAAATATGCACAAAGTCTAAAAAAGTTTGAACTACAGGGTGTATCAAAAAAAGCGCAACCTCTGAATTTCCCAAGAAATCGACATTGTTTTAAAGACAAAAGATTTTAGGCCCCTGTGAATTTAAAATAGCACAACTGTCAAAATTACTGCACATGCGAGTGCATAAAGCAAAATTTATGCATTTATTTAACGCACAACATCTATTAGCAATTTGATTTCAATTCCCAGGGGCCTAAAATCTTTTATGCTTAAGAATTGCAAAGTGATTTCTTAGGAAATTCCGAGGTTGCGTTTTTTTTTTATACACCCTGTATATCGATGTATACAGGGTGTATCAAAAAAAGCGCAACCTCGAAATTTCCCAAGAAATCGACATTGTTTTAAAGACAAAAGATTTTAGGCGCATGGGAATTTAAAATAGCATAACTGTCAAAATTACTGCACACGCGAGTGATCAAGCAAAATTTATGCATTTATTTAATCCACAACAACTGTAATATGATCTATTAGCAATTCGATTTCAATTCCCAGGGGCCCAAAATCTTTTATGCTTAAGAATTGCAAAGTGATTTCTTAGGAAATTCCGAGGTTGCGTTTTTTTTGATACACCCTGTATATTAATGAATAAATCATGACCTTAGTAATCTATCCCCATGAGGCGAGGCAGGAAGTGTGTCTTATATTTACATATGAAACCTTCAATTACTATCGAAGCCCGAAGAACTTTACACCAAACAAAACAAAATACCATATTATAGCATTTGATGGCCAATTTTACAGGAATAATACTTACAGCATGTACGTAATATTTTGTTATCAATAGCAAGTGAGTCACTATGTAATATTTTGCTATAATAGACCATTGAGTATATTGGTATTATTCGATATAAAACCATATGCACTTACTATTGCAATCAGATATAATATCAGAGCTGCTTCCTTACTTTGTTTAATATAGACTAATTCCACAGAATGACTGGCTTATTTTTTTCCGTTTTATTTGGTCTCAATTTTTTGTTATTCAGTCCTTGTGAAGGTAAGGTACTAAGGACAGTATAGGCAGAAAAGTGATAAGTTGTCACCGTTCTTTGACATACGCACAAGCTTCCATGCAACTTTATATAGAGAACATATAATCGAATATACACTATATTGTTCTGTTGATGCTATTTTTCCTCCTTTATAACCCCGGGGTTTGGACAAAAATTGTGTGGATGTTTTTTCGAATGACCCGTTATAACCTCGAATGTGAAGGATTTTGGACAGACATCGTGGCGTACATTTTTTTATTATCATGCGTAGATTTCTCCCCCCCCCCCCCCCCCCCCACTCCAGGCATGGCAGGTTTATGGGGAGTGTCGATCATTTCAGGAACAACCTATTGGCTCACATGGAAAGTGATTGCTCTTGGACAATTTAATTTTTTTAATAGAAATGGATTGATTGTAAGTTAAACTCCCTTGTGTGTAGGTCAAATCTCCCTCCCGCCTGGTGGCGACACCTTTGTTGTTCTTCCAGGAGAAAATGTGACAATGGCGTGGAAACTTGATATCGGTGTATCTGATTTAACTGTTCGAGAATGGACATTCCTTCTAAAGGACGACGACACTTTTGCTGAAATTATTTATGACGGAGATCTAGAGAAAAATCCCCAATACTCACCTGGGCCATTTACAATAAAAAAGCTTCAACATTGATTTTAAAGAACGTTACTATTCAGTACAATGGAACATACAGATTTACTATTTGGGAAAAGGGTAAAGCTACTAAATCTGATGTTACTTTATTTGTTGCAGGTAGGTGTTGTTTGTACATTATCCTTTCAGGCATTAACAAGTTTCTTTATTCTGATTGGTTTAAACAAGTAGAATAGACAATTCCACTCGAAGTGTGTGAATAATGTTTGACTGATTTTATTGTCTGTTGCAAGACAAAAAGGCGTATCATATGCGCATTGTTGAAGAGTTTTTGTAGATGGAAATTTCAATCGAAAATTACAGTGGCGGATTACCTATTAGGTTGAGTAGGCTAAAGCTAAAAGGCCCGTGATTTGCAAAGAATACACTTTTGACTTTTTATTAATTTACCTAGTCCCTTGGTTTTCATTATAGTATTGACCACCACCGCACCGCCAACACGCCATGACGAAAATTGGGATTGGTCGGGAAATTTCATCACAGATCAGGGAATTTCATAAATACCAGGCAATTTTTTGTCAGCCACCCCTTTTTTTCCTTATTCAAACATTTAAATGGACAGAAACATTTATCCATAGATTTAGATCTGATGAATTCCGCCTAGCCAAAAACGTTTGCCGTCCTCTCTGAATATAACGCGCCCTAAAGGTTTTTATTGCTTTAACAAAAGGCCCGAAATTAAAATATGCTTTAGGGACCGGTCGTTTATTGAGGGGGAGGCTGGTGTAAGATAAGGGAGGGGCACCAAATTCTATACGAAGGAAAAGGTCGGGTCAGATATTTTTATGCAAGCAAAATAGGATACCATGTCATACAAACATATATAGTCCCCAACACTACAATTGGGTGACTGGCTAAGCCCTACTACTTAATTATTTATATACTTAAACCAGTAACAAGAATGGTTGATGTATCAATATGGTATCAATTATAAATACAACATGGCCCGCTTCACCACTGATAAATACCGAACCTTCCAATCACGTGACTATACTTAAATTAACTTGCGCGCCCAAATAACCTATTTCGCATAATTAATTTCAACTATAAATTATTCCGGGAAGCAATAAGAGCTCTTATCGCTCGATCTGGCAATAAGTTCCTTTATATATCACCGACATACCAAAAAATTTCCCAATAGCTGCCTCGTACCCAGGCGTCTCTTTGTAAAAAAACAGTGATGCCCATATGACGAGTTTACATGAAGTATTGTAGTGGGGAGAGATGGGCGAAGGGGTTGATGGGAAGAGTATCCTCCCCAACAGCCCCTTCGCGCGTCGCCTGCCTACCTGAATACTTCATGTATTATAATTATTTAAAGCGCCTGGGTACGAGGCAGTCCCAATAGGGAGTTGAGGGGCGTCCGCCCGAATTGTGCTCCACTTTGGGGGGTTCAAACAAAACTGAGCAAGTATCTCATTTGCAATAGCATACCCTCTCTCCCAGCAAAATTAATGACCGGTCCCTTAAAGTACTGAACTTAAATATTAAAACACACCATTCAATTTTATTACTGTAACTTTAAAATGCAAGTAAGGCCAATATCCGCCATTTTTGGGGTGCTATATCTGCCCTCGTGAAAGATGTAGACAATTCAAACAACGTGAAAAGTGACTAATTCAAAAGTTATAACTGTAAATTTACCATTATACAAACATCTAAATATAATTCTAAAAAGTTGTATTTCGTGGTGCAGAGACTCTTAAACGTGGGAGGGGCAGTACTCCAAGAATGGCGGAAAAATTCAATATTATTAAAAACGCTTCATCAGTCAATCACTTACAGTGCATTATTTTTCAAATGTTAATCGAAAATCCCCTTAAATCCTTTAGTACAACCAAAGTCCAAAAACACCTTAATTTAAGTTAAAATGGTTGCTGACAAGTAATGAAAACGCGTAAGTGCATGAGTCACTTTCAAATCGGAAATTTTAACTGAACATGTATTAATTTCAATATTTCCAAAAACTGCGTTTATTTATTCTTTTTTGAGCTTTACTCTATATATGTCCCAACCATGGAAATGTTTAAAAGACTTACTGCAGTATATGGCTTCATTACATTTCAGTGAAGCCAGCTGTGACCATCAATTGTCCCAGTCCTATCACAGTAGATGAAGGTGATGACTTCTCATGTGTATGTAGAGGCGAAGGTGGAAACCCTTCAGCCAATGTAACTTGGTATAAAGATAACGTACAGATTGGTGCAGCAGGAAACGAAGAACAAACATTAACTCTCAGTAATGTTGCTGGAACAGACACTGGAACATACAAGTGTGTGGCCCAAAGTCACACTCTAACTGATGAAAACTTAGTCGAAGTAAAAAAGTAAGACTTGATTGTAAGTATTGTTGTAAAAATGAGCGTGTTTGCATGCAAATATTTGAACTGGTGCATGCACATATATGCAAATTTATAAACTGTAAAAAGGACGTGCATGTTTGAACTAGTGCTGCGCATGTTTTGAAGTGAAGGTTATTATATAATAACAACCTTGTGTCCCGCAAGTTGTTGTCCCATTCAAATGAGGGAGTGTAATTTATTTCCCATGTGTTTCATGCATGCAAGTTTTATATTATGTACTATTTACAACATGAGCGGCTGTGTTGTATCGGCAAATAAAACGACTCATCTTATGAGTTCATTGGCGAAGTAATTTTAACAAATAAACGTTGTCTAAGCCGAGAAAATCAAAGTTGAAGTTTATGTAAATCAACATGAATCTGTATCACATATACAGATGCGCGACACGCTTATGATTTTTCTTTGTGTTTTCTTCATGAATTATTAATGAGTTTTTTAAGGGTAAGTAATATGCAGTATCGTTTCTCGTGCAATTTGGATCGTATTTGAAAAACTCACTCGTGCGTGTTCTTTTCAAATTGTACTCAAAACCATTATACGTATATATTAATAACATATATATTGCCGAAATCACATTTTATACTATTTTTTGCACAGATCCACCAGAAGAGCCATACTTTAAAGAAAATGTGGATGTTGGTAAAACTTTTGCCATAACATGTGAATCTAATGGTCATCCTTCGCCACGTTATACCATAATCCATAATAATACCAAGATCGTCAGTAATGACAAGATGTATACCATAGATGTTGTGCAGTACAGTGATGCTGGGTTATATAAATGTATTGCCGAGAATAAACTTGGAAATAGTTCAACGATATATTATTTATCTATCCTAGGTAAGATTCAATATTTTCAGGTACAAAAACTGTTTTTACTATTTTTACCCCTCGTTTTACTACTTCTATATATTAGTTATTATATATTAATTGTCTTTAAAATTTCGACTGTAATGAAATTGAAAGTGTAATAACATGAATTCATTATATTTAGATCAATTAATAAATCCAACAACTGGTATTAGCACTCAAACGTTCTCCACCACTGAGAATTCTGAGAAATCAGGTAAGATGCATACTTGTTCAGAAGTTATATACACTTCTTTAATAGATTATACAGGGTGTATCAAAAGAACTGAACAGATTTGAAATTGCTCTCAATTTCGCAAAACACCTATTTGTATCTGTTTTTTTATATATATAGCTTCTTTGGGTACTTATAATGTAAAATAATGAAAAAAATTTCTCGAACTCAAATTTTGTGAACCAGGGGGGAGGGGTGTCTTTTCCAACAAACTAAAAATGGCTCGCGCACAACATTTAAAAGCTGTAATCATATTTTGAGTTAACTGATTGAAAATTTGTCGGGTTTTTAATTACTGTACAAAATTTCAGACAATTTGGTTTAGTTTAAGCCCTTTAACTATTCATTTTGTTCTAAAAAGTCAGCCTTTCGCATGCTTAATTAATGCCTTTACCTAATTTGCATATTGCTGACATATGCAAATTAGGCAAATGCATTAATTAAGCATGCAAATAGCTGATTTTTCGGGAAAATTGTGACTTTGCGTGAATAGTTAAGGGGCTTAAACTAAACCAAATTGTCTGAAATTTT